GGTTTTGGGACTTTTCTTTTGAAACCGCTGTGTTTTTGATTAATCGCCACCCTAGTAAACCTCTTCAAGGTCACCTACCCTTCATTATATTATATCACCAGCCACCTGATTATACCTTTCTTCGTGTTTTTGGTTGTGCTGTCTATCCTCTTCTTCGCCCTTATAATTAACATAAATTCTCTTTTCATTCCACTCAGTGTGTCTTTCTTGGGTATTCTCCATCTCATCTTGGTTATCGTTGTTTTCATGTGGTGAATAACCGTCTTTATGTTGCTCGTCATGTTGAGTTTGATAAGAAACTCTTTCCCTTTAAACGTCCTATTTCTGGTTCTCCTTCTTCGCTGCTGGAGTCTCCTGCTACCCCTTGGTTGCGTGTAACCAGTTCTCCCGGTATGCTTACTTCGTCTTCTACGCCCTCTTCGTCTCCTCCTAGTACCCCAGTTCCTTCGTCTCCTCCCATCCCTCCCGACTCATCAGCATCTTTAGATAGTTCTCCTGCATCCAGCTCTTCGTCATCTAAGTCCAGTTCTCCTCCGCCACCTCCTCCTTCTCCTTCCCATCCGCATTCAATGGCACTTCGTCCAAACCCCAAGCCCAAGAAAATCTTTGATCCCTCGGCTCATCTTACCTCTGTTTCCCCAAATTTGTCTACTGCTCCTACATCCTTCACCCAAGCCAAATCTTTTCCTCAGTGGCAGAATGCCATGAAGGATGAAATTTCCGCCCTCCTCAAAAATAACACATGGACTTTAGTTCCCCCTCCTTCCTCCGGCAATGTTGTCGGCAATCGATGGCTCTATAAGATTAAGACTGTTGCTGATGGCTCCATTGAGCGTTATAAGGCTCGGTTGGTGGCTCGAGGTTTTACTCAGTCTTTTGGGGTTGATTACACTGACACATTTAGTCCGATAGTTAAGCCGGTCACTATTTGCTCGGTTTTGACAGTTGCCTTGGCTCGTGGATGGTCGATTTCTCAGCTTGATGTCAGTAATGCCTTTCTTAATGGTGTTCTGAGTGACACTGTGTATATGGTTCAGCCACAGGGTTTTGTTGGTCCGGTGCGCCCTCATTATGTGTGCAAACTGCATAAGTCCTTATATGGTCTTAAGCAAGCTCCTCGGGCCTGGTATTCTCGGTTGGCTGCGTTTCTGATCACCTTGGGTTTTGTGGAGTCTCGTTCTGATCCTTCCCTCTTTGTCTATCGCCGTGGGTCTCAGTTGTGTTTTCTGCTGGTCTATGTGGATGACATTATTCTTACAGGTAGCACTTCTGGTTTGGTCCAGCATTTTATCTCTCGTCTTGTTAAGGAGTTTTCTCTTTGGGATTTAGGTCCATTGAGTTACTTTCTTGGGGTCGAGGTTTGTCGTACTTCCCAGGGTTTGCTCCTCTCTCAGCGCAAGTATGTCACTGATTTACTACGCCTTGCAAATATGCATACTTGCAAACCTATTTCCACTCCTCTATAGGCTAATGTTGTGTTGTCCTGTTTGGATGGTACTCTGTTGTCTCCTGATGATGTGACTACTTATCGCCGGCTTTGTGGCAGTCTGCAGTATACCACTCTCACTCGTCCAGATATCTCTTTTGCGGTTAATAAGCTTTGTCAGCTCATGCATCAGCCTCGCACTTCTCATTTTCAGGCTCTCAAACGGGTTCTTTGCTATCTTCGTGGCACCGTTGATTTCTGTTTAGTTCTGCATCCTACCGATTTGAGCACTCTTACTAGCTTTAGTGATGCTGACTGGCCTGGTTGTCCGGATGATCGTCGTTCTACTACTGGTTTTCTCATTTATTTGGGACCTAATCTCATTGCCTGGGCATCTCGGAAGCAACCCACTGTGGTTCGCTCGTCTACTGAGGCTGAGTTTCGTGCGGTTGCTAATGTCTGTGTTGAACTGCATTGGGTTTGTCATCTATTGTCCGAGTTAGGAGTTTCATTACATCGCCCTCCCTCTATTTGGTGTGACAATACTAGTGCGGTTTTCCTTGCTGCCAATCCCGTGTTTCATGCTCGCACCAGACATGTTGAGGTTGATTTTCACTTTGTTCGAGATCATGTTCCGCGAAAGTTTGTTTCGGTCAACTCTGTCTCTGCTGCTGATCAGCTTGCTGATGTTCTGACCAAATCCTTGTCCAAGGAGTTGTTCTTTCAATTCCGGGACAAACTTCGGCTCTCTTCTCTCCACCGTCAGTTTGAGGGGGCGTATCGTAATATTTAATATATTTACTATAAGTGTCCTTGTTTAGGGTTTGTTATTGTCTATATATAGTCTGTATATTGTACATAATGACACGTGAATGAAATACAATTCCCCTTTTCTAACTAATTTCACCACAAGGATTTTCAAAAAGCTATACGTCAATCCAGCTAGATTCCTATTAGAATTAGAGGTTGCATTTCTAGGTTATATTTGCCAGAGTCATAGTAGAATAGAAGAATAAGCAATGTATATACGATAGAGTCTACCGATTCGGACGAAAAGAAGATGTGCAAATTTTAAGGCTCATTGCTCGGAATAATATCGAGGAAAAGATTATTTAGCTGCAAGAGGAAAAGAAACTGCTGGCAAGAAAAGCCTTGGGGAATACCAAAATTTTGCCAAGAAAAATGTGACATGCTTTTCTACTTCGAAAACCTAAAAGCACTCGTACATGGTCTTTAAGTGCGCATTAGCATCCACAATTGCGGATGCGAAATCAAAAAAGTTCAATCAAATCTCTCTTTTTTGGATGATTTGAGTCTTTATTTTGGATGTTTAGTTATTTGTTTAGGTGTTTGGTGAATCTCCCCAGCAGATCTGATACAAAGAAGGAACATCTGTTATCCGCCGAAGAATGAGATCCGGATGAAGAAGAACAAATGCTCAAAGTCAACAGTTGGAGGGTTTTGCTGCAAATCTGAGTTCTATAGCCCGTGGATTCAAGAGTTGCGAAGGGACTTTAGATCTGTGGTCAAAGTAGTAAATCTTTCAGCTGTTTAATGGTTCTTGTTTATAAAATTTTGGTTCTGTAATGTAGCTCTCCTTTAATGTACTAGTGATGATGTTAGTGTATGGCAAACATTGATAAATCAACCTCAAGTTGTTCAAGTTGTATTTGTTCTACTTAGGTGGATGTAAGTTGTAATCTTTGATTTTTTTTTAATTTTAATTTAAATATGATTAGCGTTTCAAAAAAAAAAAAACAAAGATGGATATGCCAGCAATCTCCTGTCGTATTTTCTTAAAACCACATTGTAAAACAATAATGAATTAATGACCAAGTCTACGATTTCGTATCATGGCACATAATATCCGGTTAAAATATTTTCTCGGTCCCCAAAAACAATTGTTTATTATGTTAATGTTCACTTCCAATACGTTTTACGATGAATTAAGAACCCCATATTATCTCTAAAAGTACTGTGGTTGGGTGGGTCATCAGAAAAAGTATGGACTCGATCGCTGTAAAATTATTTTTGCCATCTGTCAGGCTAAAGGCGATATAGTGTATTCTAGTGCGCTCTGAAAAGCATTAGTTGAACGATGAAAAGAGAGAAAGGCAGAGGAAAAGTAAGCAATCCAATTTCAGGGAAGCAATCATGCAGATAACTGATTAATCAAACAAAAGGGTCGGCTCCGCCACATTAACAAACTGTGTAAAATGCTGCAAACAAAACCAGTAAAAGAAAGATTTGAGTGCGTAAGTTTACCAAATCCACTTAAGTGTCTTTTCACCTTTGTTATTGTCCCATGATGTTTCATCAACGAAATTAAGGGGAAAAGAGAGCACTGTACAACATGTATAGAAAAATATGCACGAAACTAAAGGTGAATATATAATACAGCATTACTTTTAGTTGGCTTTGATAAAGGAGGCAAGTTGCATAAATACTATGCAATTGTATACATAATATATCATGCTATTATAAGAAATTTCCATTTTTACAAATCACAGTCTCTCCAAAATAATAATAATAATAATACAATTTGCTTGAACTTATGAGTTTTGGGCCGAGACATTTAATGTCGCATTTTAATCAGATAATTAGATCTTGAATATATTCGGCTTCAAATGTTGATTATCCCAATAAAAACCGGTTCCTGAACTTCATTTACGCAATTTGGTTAAACATGAAAGAAAAGAATTTATAAGGATTGAATATATCGACATTATTCATTGTGCATGTGCAAAGATCTTTGTTGCAACATAAGTTGATGATAGTATTATAAGATTATCAGAAACCACACATGATAGTAGTATTTATGGATTAATGTAGGCCTCTGCAAGCAAGCACAATTCGTTCTTTCTGTATGCTGATGCCCCAAACCTCTCAATCATGTCTAATTCTTTATGTTCCATCCCTCCTGGAAGTAGCCAATTGAAGTGGTAGAGCAATAGGGCAAGCAAAAGCTCAACATTACTGACACCATAGTTTATACCAGGACAGATCTCTCCTTCCGGCACCGAGTGGATTAAACTCAAAGTTGTTTCTTGTATAATCTGCGGAATGTCATCCCAATATTCAGGACCTCTAGCATTTAAGCATGCATTAACGAAGGTTAACCGTCCCCTTCGGAATCTTATAGCCTGAGATTTAAGAACGGCTCTCTAGTTTCCCTAGGGGCTAACAAAGGAATCGGAGGGTGTAGTGTGAGAGTTTCTTTTATTACCCATTTTAGATACTCCTTGTACATATCATTTCACCTTAATTTTTCCTTTTCTTTTAAAGCTTGCCTAACTTCAGCTTCTGCTTTTTCCAAAATTCTAGGATTCTTCATCATTTCCGAGCGGACCCTTTGTGATTTGGTCACCTGTCTCACTCTGAAAGATTATTGAGGAATTTTACAATCAACATGCAAACTTTAGAATTTAATTTCCGGTATGATGTTATTTAATATTTTCTCAAATATATAAAAGAGGAAATGTTATATTTTGATACGCGCACAACGCAAAGATTATCTTGAAAAGAAGCTTCGAATGTTTTGGAGAAGCTAAAAAAGTTAAACAAATGAACACGACAAATGTGAGAAAGAAAACACAGTTTGCAAAGGATTAACACGTAAAGCGCCAGAAAAAAAAAAAAAAAAAAAAAAGAAGAAGCAAAAACTACCCGTAGAGAGATGTAGCAAAAGAAAAACAGTATCTAAGATGAAAGAAAGATTTTGCACCTCACCAAAACTTCTGATTCTCCGACTTTGATATCCAAGGATTTCGCATCATCATACAAATACTTCTTCCATTCCCATCCTTCGGCATCATTACATGGAATTTTTCAACTTTCATCAATTTATTCCTGCTAGATACAAAAGGGACGACCACCTCGTCCTCTCCACATTCCTTAAATTCTCATATACAAACTAAAACTTCAATAGTTTGTGATTTGGTCACCTGTCTCACTCTTGAAGCTGCAAATAGAGGAGTAACGTAATCGTTGTAAATTTATTCAGCTGAAAATTGATTTGATGGTAATACAAGTCATGACAGATACCACATTGGAGGTAATACCTCCCACATCAAGATTACTTTCTTTACAACAAGCTTTGACATATCAATTTCATTCATTTCAAGGAAAAAAAAAAGTCACAATATTGTTGAACTTAAACAGTACATGAAAACAAAGGATCAAGCGCAGATATCGCGCATATTGGATGGTTATACGTACATATCATGTATGATTAGGGATTGGGGACGTATAACTTCGCATGTAAGCACAGTTCATTTTTTCTTGAAGCTGCTGCCCCAAAGCTTTCAAACATGTCCAATTCCTCAGGTTTCATCCCATCGGGAAGTTCCCAGTCAAAGTGGTAGAGCAATTGGGCAAGCAAAAGTTCCACATTAGTGACACCAAAGTTTATACCGGGGCACATTCTTCTTCCAGCACCAAATGGTATGAGCTCGAAATTGTTCCCTGTAAAATCGATAGAAGTGCTTTCAAATCTTTCAGGTTTAAACACCTCAGGATCATTCCAGTATTCGGGATCTCTTCCGATTGCCCATGCATTAACAAGAGTTACCGTTCCAACCGGAATCACGTAACCTTGGATTTCACATTGCTCTCTGGCTTCTCTAGGGGCTAGTAGAGGTCCGGGAGGATGTAATCTAAAAGTTTCCTTTATTACCCATTTTAAATACTTCAATCCTTGTATATCACTTCCATCTATTTTTTCCTTTCCTCGCAAAGCTTGCCTAACTTCAGCTTGGGCTTTCTCCAGAATTGATGGATCCTTTACCATTTCAGACATAGCCCATTCGACAATAACTGATGATGTTATAGTCCCCGCAACTGACAATTCCTACGTCCGGAAGGAAAACCCAACAATTAACCAGTCAATATTACTACTTTGAAATCCTTAAATTACCCATATATTCCTTCAATATAGTGCACTTAATATGCCCTCGAGTATCGTTTTAGATACTGAAAAACTACTGATTCAACCTCATCAAGATTAGTTCAAACTTCAAAACATGCACTTTTACTTAATTATTCTATCTGCTAGAAAAAAAAATAGTCTTCTGTATTATAACTTGTGAAATGTATTCCAAACAATCCAATTCAGATTTTATTATATGGACTATTTTTCCAGGACAGAGGAAGTACTTAAATAAAGACTTAAAAATGAAGTATTTAAGAGGGTAATTAAATCGCTTACGAAAATGATGGCTTTGATGTGGTTCCTGGTGATGGGGAACTGGAAATCATTCTTCTTCTCAAGTCTCAGCAGAACATCCAGAATATCTTCTTCCATTAGGTTGGCTTTATCTTTTTCATGGCTAATGATAATATCCTCCAGAATCACATCTAATTTCTTGTACAGCTTCTCTAACTTGGTCTTTACTCTACTGAACAAACGAAGAAACTTTATTGAAGGGTAGAGATCTTCAAGATTGAATATTCCAGCAAGTTTTGCTGCCTCCATTGTTGCAGCTATCAACGAACTTTGGTCATTGCATATTCTTCCCACTGTAGCTCGGCTGATCGTTGAGTTCAAGTATGACAAAATCAGTTGACTCAAAAAGATAGGTTTTCCCTTCTGCGATTCTATTGATTTCCTCAAATTTGAAAGCTCGTCATCCATGATATGGAAAAGCGATTGAATGCTTTTGCTGTTGAGAAGTTCAACGACATAGATTTGACGCATTTGTCTCCAGTAATCGCCGTAAGGCGAAAAGGTAACACCTAAGCTGTTGTACAACATGATCTGCGCCACGGTTAGGTTTGGTCGATTCGCGAACGCGAGACTGTTGGTTTGTAGGACTTCTTTTGCTAATTTTGGTGATGATACAACAATGGTGGAAAGCTCACCGAGTTGCAAATGCATCAGGGGACCATATTTTTGGGCTAATTTTTGAAGAGTTTGGTGAGGGAGTGAACCCACCATTTGGTGCAAATTCCCAATGAATGGGAGTTTTCTTGGACCAGGTGGTAACAGATTTCGAGATTCACGGTTTTGAAATACATTCTTTAGCAATAAGAAGGGAAGTAGTAAGAGAAACAAAGCAAACAGGAAGATGAAGAACTGCATATTTGGAACTAATTATGTGCTCTTCTTTTGTGTTTGTGTGTGTGATAAGTAGGTGCTGCGGTTTTCTTTCTCTCCCTCGTGTATGTGTGTGGTATGCAAGACTAAAATAAATAGAATTTCTGACAAAAATATTTTTTGGGGGCTGCGATAGTAAAATTTAAAAAATATCAATATTGATAAGAGCCACTATAAACTGCTCTTTTCTTTTCTTTTTTTAAATTATCCAAAGACCATAAATGGACAACCACCATTCTTGCTGCCCCTTATATAAAATATGGTAAACTTTTCCTCTTGCCTGTATCAGGTGTGGGAGTTGGAATCCTCGAAAAGAAAAGTAAAGGACTAAAAACAAAAACAAGGGGTAGTGGAGGTAGCATTGCAACCTTGTGAAGTGGAACCCAACACTATTTCTTTATGTTATTGAACCAGATATAATATAATTCATCACCAATCAATATAATCTCATTTTAAATATAATTTTATCTTCAATATATCAGTAATATTGGAAAAATAAAATAAAAGTTGTCATAATTTCGTAAATTCACATATTTTTTGAAATATTTTGTAAACCTTAAAATGACATATATTTAATAACGAAGAGAGTAACATTTTATTTTTTTGTCCCATAGTGTGTGTTTCAGTTTGATTTTTACTTTTAATATGTACAACGTAACAATTATTTTAGAATGAAATATTTAAATGATTTTCTTCTTAATGCATATCCCAAAACTACTTCCAATTCTAGAAACCATATTCAAAGTGCACTGTTTTCCAGAAACTTTGCTATCTCGTTTGAAAGGATTATGGTGGTTCATCAACACCAATACTTCAACCTTCCACACTCCAAATTCGGTACAAAACCTCAGTTCAGAAATATAATGATTAAAAACTACTATGCATCAAAGGTTGTATCATATTATGAGGCAAATTTGTCACTCTCAGTTCTGATGCTTTTTACTCTTAAATCTTTGCAGGCTTGAATCCTTCAACTTCAAGATCATCAACTACATGCAGCCTGAAACAGTCTTCATTGGTAATAATCTTACCATATTTTTTCTTTTCCTTTTCCTTCCATCTTTTACTTATCTGCTTTCCTTTTCTTGAAGATAACAAGAAGCTTTTTTGATGTTAAAAGTGAATCATTCATTGCCTATTTAGAATTCAATTTCGGCTCAGGAAAATAAAGAATATGTACAAAGAATCAGAGAGATGATGTTTCAGAAAGTAAAACTATCGATATCAGCATATGACACAGCATGGGTTGCCATGGTTTCATCAAGGGAGTCTCCGGAAAAGCCGTGTTTCCCACAATGTTTGGATTGGGTACTTGAAAATCAACAGAAAGATGGTTCATGGAGTGGTCTTCAGCAGCAGCAACCCGCAGATGATTACAGCAGTCTGCTTCCCAAAGACTCACTTTTGTCTACACTTGCATGTTTACTTGTTCTTCGGAAATGGCGAGTTGGTGAGCAAGTTCTCCTAAGAGGTAATCAAATTCATTAGACCCTCTTCCTTCTTTGTAAATTTTTTTTTTTCCTTTTGGGTTTTTTCAATTTTCTTATGATCGAGTTAGTGTTTTGGAGAATTTTTTTTTCATCCTTGAATACTTAGTCATCTCTGATCTCTCTTATGATGGACAGCACCTTTTTCTTGTGGTTTTTTAAGCTACCTTTTTTTTCCCCCAGGACTTGAATTCATAAGATCAAATGGTTTTGCTGCTTGCGACCATAATCAAGTTTCTCCTGTTGGATTCGATGTTTTGTTTCCTGGGATGATCAAATACGCGATACAGCTAGAGTTGAACTTACCTTTGGATGCAACTTTGATGCATCAAATTATGCAAAATCATGAGATGGAAATCGCGAGGTGGATCACATATAGAAACATGAAACTGTAAAATTAAAATGTTTTAACACTAGTTAAGTTTCTTCGAAAAATATTTTTCTAATTTGTCATAAAGTGAAATGCATTTGACTGAAGAATCCAGGGAAATGAAACAGCTTTAGCATACTTTGCTGAAGGAATTGGGACAACATGTTGCTGGAGAAAGGTTCTAAAAGTTGTTCAAAGGCCAAAGGGCAGAATTCTGAGTTCACCAGCTGCCGTAGCTGCTGCTTTGAATGAGCATTATGACCACAAGCTCTTTGCACATTTGGGCACATTCGTCGACAAATCTGAAAAAGGGGGTACTCATCCTTAACCTCCTCTATAGGATAAGGCAAAATGCAATCTGGTTGATATTAATATTATTGTAATGAATTAAATTTGTGTATTCATATTGAATCTGTCTTCTCTTTTCTTCCTCCATTCTGCGTTTAATCTCACAGTACCTACCATTCACCCGTCAAGCTTGCATATTCGCCTGAAATTAGTCGATGCTGTTGAAAGGATGGGGTTAAAACGATATTTCACCCTCGAAATAGATAGAATTCTGAATGAAACATTCAGGTTGGTTGTGTCATTTTGCATCATTATCTTGACTACATATTCGAAGCAGTAACCTATCTATTAGCTATCATTTGAAACTTGAAAATTTAAAAATTTATAATTAGGTCGTGGAAGCATAGAGATGAAGGGATTGTATCAGATGTAACCTGTTGTGCCATGGCATTTCGACATTTGAGATTAAGAGGGTATGAAGTTTCTTCAGGTACAGTGCCAGTTCCAATAATTTGATACTTCTCCAGCTGACACATTGTAGGTGGGGCTAACTTTGGTATCCGGTGCAGAAGAATTGGTGAGATTTGTTGATGAAAAATGTTACTTCAGTACAGTAAGTCCGCAGTTCTGGGGAGTGACTACCATTCTGGAACTCTACAGAGCTTCGCAATATTCCATCATTCCTGGAGATGAAGTCATCCTTGAAAGTATCAATGCTTGGACTGGAACTTATCTAAAGCAGCAGCTGTTAAATCAAAGCATACTCGACCACAGACTTCGTGAGGAGGTACTACCACCATTACATAAGGACATCTAAATGCATTTACGTAGACAAAGTTTAAGACTGGCCACTTGGCTAAAAACCTGTAGATCATGCTGATATACAGAGTATACTCTGTTCAGTCCATTCCATAGCAATAGATCTGTTTCCGACACTATGGTGAGATAGAGCAAGTGATAATCTTGACAATTAAACGTTAATCACAATACATATTAAATGAAACAAAATAATTTGGTACAAAATGAACAATCGAGTATTTTTTACAATCACAATACTCGATTGTAAAAACTGGAGTATTAACTCTGTTCGAAAACAGGACTGCGAGAAGTTCAATGAATTTGTTGCTAGCTTTAATTGATTATATGTACCATAATACCTTCATCAAAAAGCCTTGTTCTTCTTAACTTAGGTGCAGGGTACCCTGAAAAACTATCATGGTTCCCTACATCGTGTCGTGAACAGGGAATGCATTGAGCTTTACAATGTAGATGAATTTGAAATACTGAAGACTGCTTACAGGTATAATTCAACTTGCATGATTACTGATTTATGAGCTGCATAGAAGTTGGAAGTACTATAAACTTTCCCACAATTTGATTGTTTTAGGTACCTTAACACGTCCAGCATGGAACTTCTCACTTTCTCAATACGGGATTTTAACGCATGCCAAGCCCTACACCAATGCGAACTTCAAGAGCTCGAGAGGTAAAGAAATCAGCAAATTTTTGGTTGCCTGAGTATCAGATCAGATTCTTCCATAGAGTCATATAATTAATGAATATGTATTCCTAGCAGATGGTTTGAAATGAATGGGTTGCGCCATATGAATGTCCCTAGGCATGTCTTGCACTGTAGTTTTTTCATGATTGCAGCAGATATCTTTGAACCTGAGCTCTCCACAGCACGAATATCTTTTGCCCAAACCGTTGTCCTCATAAGAGTTGTCGATGATTTGTTTGACAATAGTGCTTCAAGAGTGGAGCTTCAGAACATCATTGAACTGGTCAAAAAGTAGATTAAGCTCCCTTAAAACTATTGTTTTCCATCTAAAATAAGTGGTCCGTTGAACTGATTTTCTGTCCACGTTCTCTTTTTCATTTACAAGTTACATGTTTCATCTCGCTTACCGAATTTCCGTTTGTACCACTTCCAGATGGGATAAAGATTCAGTAATACTTGGTAAATGCTCCAAAGAAGTTGAGATATTCTTCTTGGCACTTTACAACACGGTGGAGGAGCTCTCAACAAAAGCTCTCCTTCACCAAGGACGCTGCATTAGGCCAAACTTGATAACCCTGGTATGCATATATGATGTATTCTCTCTGCCCAAAATCATTGTCCTGTTTAGATTTTCATTTTTAATATCAGTTGTAGTAAAAGTAAAATTTTAAATTGAGCAATCATTTCGAGATTGAGGGAGTACCATTTACCATATCGTAGTTAATCCCCTTTTTCCTCATAACACAAAAAGAAGAAGAAAATTTTTTTTGAAACAGTGGCAAGAATTGCTGGAAGGAATGATGATAGAGCTAGACTGGTGGAGAGAACAAAGAACACCTAACTTGGAGGAGTACTTGTCCGTAACAAGCTCAACTATTGGAAGCCATTTATGTATTCTGACAGCCATTCATTTCATTGGTGCCATTTTATCCGAAGAATTATTGGGAAGTGAAGAAATTAGGTTTTTATGCAAACATGTCTCCATTGTCGCAAGACTACTGAACGATCTTCAAACACTAGAGGTAAATTTTCAATTTCAGTTAATTTTTCTTTTCCAGACACCTATAGGCTACAACTACAAGTATCGGTACAAGGTAGTATGTTTTATTTATATTGTCAGTAGCAGAAAAGTGGCAGGTTATTCAAAAGTATTAAAGTTGCAGAATCAAAACAAATGGATGAGCCAGAAACAAATTAAATACTCCTTCCGTTTCAGAAAAAGAGTCTCATATATAAATTACACTATTTGTACTGTATTTAGTACGAATTATAAACTAGTCCCTCCGTCCTACCAAAATAGTCCATATTGAGTTTTAAGTTTAGTACTGTTTTTAGTACAAATTTGAAATTTTAATGTGAACAATTTTGTGGAACGGAGGTAGTACAATGTAGACTATATTTTACTAAAAAGATTTCCTCGCGTTGGCATTGTTGACAGAAAGAGCTCTCAGAAAGAAAACCGAATAGTCTGTCCTTACTCATGCTAGGAGGTCATCATCATGGCACCATGTCGATTGAAGAAGCTAAGACAGTTATACACAAAAAGGTTGAAAGTAGTCGAATGGAACTGCTAAGGATGGTCCTTCAGACAAATGGAAGCCAGGTTCCAAGAGAATGCAAAAATCTGTTCTGGACAACAAGTAGATTATCCTTCTATTTGTACAAGTTCACAAATGAGTATGATTTCCCAAAAGAAATTATTACCGATGTAAAAAAAGTGATTTTTGAGCCGATCGAAATGTCCCAATTCGGCAGTCATGTTAGTTTAGTTTTATAGAAGATGTACTCTCTGTAACACACAAGTTAGTCCTATCTTTTCTAAAAATATACCGCGACACAAGTTTGCGCAAAGCGAAGGATTTGCTTGCTTTTTAGATGTTTGTCGAAAAAGAAGTTTCCCAAAATCGATGATAAACTAATAATTATTGGGGTAATACAGAACAGCCCCTTTGTGGTTTTCAAAACCACACGAAAACCCCTTGATTATTAAAGCATATGAGAAACCCTCATACTTTTCCAAAATTTGTAAAATGGATGAAAAATACTCAAAAGAAATTTTGAAATTGTAAACCAAGTGTGCGTGGATTCCATTTTTTAATTTTGCCAACATTCTTTGTAGGTCATATATACCCTTGTGTTTTTTTTTTAAGAAATAAAAGATAATTCATTAATTTGTTGAAAATCGTCAGGCAACGATTGACAAAAGCAAGTTACAGCCAGAAAGACACAACTTACAATCGGTCATAATGTCATTGTTGTATTTTTCATAAAATAATGGTTGTACCACGTGCCAGATCTGAAACCTAAAGATACAATACTAACCATCGGTTGAAAGTCACAAAATATAGACCTAACAATTAGATCTGTTATGACTGAATTTTCTTGATCCAAGCCTGTCAAACTGACGAACCTCTTCAATTAATCCTTCACCGCCATACTTGCAAACGTCATTAGTGAAACCATTGCCATACTAGCAAATATTTCTAAGAAAACTGCTGCCATACTAGCAGACATCAACAAAGATGCCAGTCACCATACTAACAAACATTAATAAGGATGCTGCCGCCATGCCGTAGATCATAATTTACAATTATGATCTTGTTATTATTGAAAATAAATTGAAACATAATAAAAAATTAAAAAGATCTGAAAAAAAATTATTTCTCCCATCCTTCCATGGTGGAAATATGGGATAAAGGTTGATTTTGGTTTCTGGAATTTAAGGGGAAGAGAGGCGGCCAAAGAGAGAGCCGAGAGAGTTTTATATACCCTTTTGTTATATATTTAAATGTTTTTATCAAAGAAAAATTAACCTTTATTTTTTGGTTTTTTCTTTACTTTTCAACTTGCTTGGCCAATATTTTGTTTTAGTTTTGTTTTAGTTTTTTATTTGAGTTTGAGATATGATTTAAAATATGGTTTGAGATAAAATTTAAAAATTTGTTTGGGTAATATTTTAAATAAAATAATACTAACTCCGTCCCACAAAAATAGTCCACATTGAGTTTTCAAATTTAAACTTAAAAAAAATACTAAACTCAAAACTCAATGTGCACTATTTTTGTGGGACGGAAGGAGCAATATTTTTAGACCACCACCGGACCACCTCCACCACCGATGCCGCCGCCGGACCGCCATCTTTTCCCGTCTCAGGCTTAAAATTTGACTTAAAGAATGATCTTCAAATCTTTTTTTCCCGTTCTTTGTAAAAAAATCAGCTACCAAACCTATTTTTTACACTTTTCCAGTTTTACTTCTTCCTTGAATAGTTTATTCTTTCTTTTTCTTTCTTTGGTTAAATCTAATAACTTTTTCTGCTGCTTCTAATTCTTCCATCCTCAGTATCACATGACACAAGCGCACAATCAATACTACAAAATCAACATGTACCATTTCTAGATCCACGATTCTGCTACAATTGGAAAATTTCGTACTCAACATTTTTATATGGAAATCTAAAAACATCTAAAAATTTCAAAGGAGCATCATACATATCAAAGATTTCGTCCTAAACATTTATCAGCCTAAAACATCAAAAAAAAAAAAAAAAGGAAAACCTTAAATGACTAGATACAAAATATTGGATTTACAAAAGAGAATTGAACTTTGATGTGGTGAGTTACTCATGATGAGGGAGATTGTTGAGGTCATTAATAGGATAATTGTCTCACATCGGTATCTGGGAATAATAAAGAGTAATTAATAATTAAGTGGTCTCAAAACCTATTATCTTTAGATTTTAGGTTGATGTGAGCTCTTACTTATTTATTATTGGGCTCGCTATTAGAATCCTTTGAACCTTATTTTTCGGGCCGGAATTCCTCATAATATTATTATTATTATTATTATTATTATTATTATTATTGTTTCTTTTTGCAATATTATCAGAGGTGAGTATCTTCTCGTGGAGTTTTTCCAGCTTCGTCTCAAACCATTCTAAGCTAGGTTTAAAAGACTGAACTGAACTGATCATAACAGAGAGATTATCCAACTATTTAAAGACAGAAGGAAAGAGACATTCGTGAAACTAGGTAAATCCTTCGTCTTCTGTTTCTATTAGGAAAATTCATTGCGCTACTTGCGGCTGTCTCTGATTTGTTAGCAGCATTGTACACAGTTCTTGTATTTTCTTAAAAACTTAAAAGTTTCTACTATTCGCATGTACTTTTCAGAGCGCATTACCGTTAATTACCAGTTTCATATTGGTAAAATGACAAAACAAATGTAATTAATTATTGCCATTTTGGTAATTAAAGTTTGAAGTGAGTTCATGCATTCTTATGTCACAAACGCGATCACACCAACCATTATAATCAATAATTGAATAGATAATGTTTATTTATCTTTTCTTGAATAAATATAAATCACACAAGATTAGTGGCAGGTCCACAAATCTTTCGCCAGCTAATTTCAGATAGTGATGACAATGATTTTCATTCTATAAATGGTGATGATGCGAAATTACAATTGCGCAACTATATCATTACTTTTGTTGATAAGGCAGTAAAAAGAATCCCAACTGATAATATTAATACTGGGCCCTGGGCCATTTATAATTTTTTTTTTAAGAATCAATTAATGGTGGATTCTTGGAGGGATAATTAACCATACTTTCCAACGCAGGAACCTTATTATTAGAAATAAGGATACCTATACTAAGATAACGTGCAAATTATAATAAAAGGTAAACCATCCTACGGAAACCAAGAAGCTTGGCAAAAAAAAAAAAATGAAATATCAAATAATACGTGACACTACTTAATTACGTCTAGAAATTCACGGTGGACATATAATCTCCTGTCATTGCACTTGATATTTTAAATATCAAATAAAATGAACTATATTTACCCATTATTTTTAAATATCAAAAGTTAAAAGAATGATTTATACACTTTTTACTTTAATGAGGGATTTGATTATTAGTATAAACAAGTCTGTTAATTTACAAAGCTTGCTTTTACCTGGCTCTGTTGATTACCTTAACGTGGCATTATTAACAGAGGAATTGGTAAAGGCCATTCAAATTCTGACTAATTACGCCTTTATTTTTTATCACTTGATCAATTTTTTAATTCTTTTTTTGGTATATTATGCACTAGGTATCCAAAGTCATTATTCGGCTAATCTGAATTCGAGCCGGGTAGGTCCTTTCAAGAGGCAAAACTTTCTCAATAATTTTTTAATTCTTCTTATACTATCATTTGGTCCAAATTAATTTTAGACCTGAAATATTATTTACTTAATTACCAAAAAAGTAAACATTTTAGGATAATTCATTATATTCGTTCTTTTATAATATATATTCTCTTAGTAAATTTTACACTTGGTGTCCAAAATTATCGTTCCAAATAATATAGATTTGAGTTAGATAGTTTTAAAAGAAATTTTAAAATGTATTTGATTAAAAACTAAATTAAGTTTGAATTTATCTATCCCGCACATCGTGCGGGTTTAACATCTAGTACCCACTAAGATAATGTACAAATTATAATAAAAGGTAAACCATCCTACGAAAACCAAGAAGCTTGGCAAAAAAAAAATAAAAAATCAAAGATTCACTAGTTCCGCGTTACAAGTTCTCTAGAGATGTCTACAGAGAGAATCAGCCATCGCTCTATGCTAAACTGGGGAATTGAACTTAAGATCTTTAACTAAATATAATTTCATGCTGAACTGATATCTAATTCGTATAATTACTTGCTAATGAAAAATGTACAAAACGAATGGATAAAGGCCAAAGGCTAAATGCCCCCAAAACATGTCCTTAAAAGAAAAGAAAGAAAATTTAGGCAATACAAAAATAGTAATAATGTCTACAGGAAATAGCGAAATATTTTAGAAAGAAAATTGAAAAGGAATGATATGAATTAAAGCAAATTCACATATTCTTAGACTTTTTGTTTAGGGTTTATGCTTATAGGTTGGAGATACTTTAGATTCAGGCACATCATTTCTTATTAGTTTTTTTGTATTTTAACATTTTCTTATATTAAAACTTTTATAATTTGACAAGGAGATTAGCCTTGTTGTCGATAATGGACACATTGCAAGTATCTATATCCCCCATTATAACAAAAACCAGTTTTAACCAAAATTCTAAGTGTCATATTTTCCTTAAACTTTTCCTCAAATTCATAAATGTAATTATTTTTCAATCCCGTTATTATATTTTTGACGAACACATTCCTAAAAAAAACTTCCACTATCTTTAAAAACACTGTTTCCGATACCCTTCTAAAAAGCAACCTCCAAATCCTAATTTTTATATGGAGAAGATTACAGACGTTACTGCATGATCGATCGGAAAGTTAAAAAAAAATAAAATAAAATCGGGCGACCGGCTACTTAGGAGAGCACCGGCCCAATTGATCAATGAACGAGCATATCAACAAACTACGATTCAGACAATTGCTATGCTTACCTGGAATTATTCCTCCTGCGGTTAAAGTTTGGCTTTGCCTTTTAATTTTCCTCCATGATAATGAATATATTTTCTATAGTAAACCCCAAAGATGGGAGAAAGCAATGAATATGTTCTTCATTTTTTTAATGAATTAATGCATCCACTCAATTCTTTCGGTTGGCCACGACTTTGAAGCAAGTCCTAACTACCCTCTATCCAATTTCTGATGACACTCAAAGTCAAAACTTTCATGACAATTGTTGCAGATATTGTGCACTGGAAACTTTCTATTTCAAAACCTTCAACGCCAATCCTATCAAGCCACTCCGCAACAATTGACAAAATTGGTGAATTGAGAAATTCATCAGCAACAACTGAAATGAATCCCTTTGTCAAGTAGGAGTAATGATGGTCAACAACTTCGCAAGGAGTATAAAATATCATATGGTGATGATGTGTGGTAATATCTTTAGAAGCAACCTTTGCTTTTTTGGCTTATACTTTTGTTTTTTTTTTTCCTTTTTGTTGTTGAAATTTGTCAAAGTGGCTTATTATCAATTTCATTGTTGGGAACAACATGCTAATGTTCTCTCAAGAATACACACAACGTAATGCATATTTGATGGGTTCATGTCTTTAAAATGATTCTCAAGTAATCAAAGCTCAAACATTTATGAAAACTTATGCAAACAAATAGATGTTTTAAGTTGTAAACGTTGATTTCAGGAAAAAAAAAAAATTTAATGGTAGAGCTGTGGTTTATGGCCTATTTTTGTTACTTCCGCAGAAATGTGGTTTGTCTTTCCGTGACACATGCGTTTTTGGAGAAAAAAAAGTAAAAAATAAAATAATTGAATTTTATCATCAGAACGACATGATAAAGTTCATTGACCAATAACTTGGAAAATGAATTAGGCCCTAATCAAGGTGTTAATTTTGGGTCCATTTCCAATTTGTTGTCATAACTCATAAAGCCTAGCCGCTTTTCCTAAATTGCAGTCATATTTGCATATTGGGAAGACACCCCTCGAGAAAAGGAAATCAATAAACGTTCAGAGCGAAAGCTTAGATTCTCCTCAAAAAAGAAAAAAAAAAAAAAGAAAAAAGAAACCCTTGGATTGCATATGGATAGGCAAAATACAGTCCAAATTTAATTGTAAAAGGATATAGGCCTACTACAATTCGGTTCATATTTTCTCTCTTAGATTTTTTCTTTTTTTTTTGTGGAGGTTTATGTCAAAATATTCTTCTTCTTTTTCTTTAATCAAACCTCCAAAAATGATTTCTGTTAGCTTACTGTTTGTTTACAAGTTTGTTATTTTTGTTTCATTGCCTTTTATGATTGGTTGTCTAACATACTTATTACTATTATGTATAATATCTGTAGTTGTCTATAATCATTGTACAATAATACGGTTTATATTGATATAATTAAACACCATATTTTTTTATTTGTCTAAAATGATTAAGATATTTTAAAGGTTTATATAATCTATAGAAGTTGCTTAATTTTTGTTAAACATACGGAACAAATTTATTATTAAAAAAATACAATATATATGATGATTATATAAACTTTTGCTAGTAAATTATATTGTAACTTAATATGATAACATGATTATAGGGTTATATGTGTGTGCTTGTGTGTTTAGCCAAATCAAAAAAAAAAAAAAAAATCAAATCATACCCGTGCGAATACACAGGTCTAATACCTAGTTTTTTTTTTAAAAAAAAAAACCCCTCTAATCTATTTAAAAATTTGAAGGTGATGAATTCCTTATTAGATTCTTCTGGCCGACATCCCTAGTTCTGCCAGTGTAATTTGACGTTAGATATACGCGTGTGATATGGAAATTTGGTCTTCCCATGAGGTTGCTATTTATTTAACTGGAATGCGTACACCAAAGGCCCAGCAAGATTGTCGGATTTGATAAGCACTTGTTGGCAATTTTCTTTTTGCAAAAACAAACAAAAGCATCGTCACTATTTTATGCATATTTTACAAGTTTTTAGTCTTTCACTTGCTTTAATACAAGTTAATTTTTTATGCCGATTGCTATTAAATGGACATCGAATTCAAAAGTAATATTCATTAAGTCCTGCTGCTTTCATCTTTATTAGTAACTAAACAGTATATTTACCGAAACATTATTCCTATAAATATCTACATTTTTCTATATAATTAACATTGATGAAATATTTTAAATATTAAGTTCGATTTTTCACGGTGCACTGTACAGGTACAACACTATTGAATATAAATCACACAAGATTATTGGCAGGTCCACAAATCTTTCGCCAGCTAATTTCAGATAGTGATGACAATGATTTTCATGTCTTTTTCTATAAATGGTGATGATGCGAAATTACAATTGCGCAACTATATCATTACTTTTGTTGGTAAAGCAGTAAAAAGAATCCCAACTGATAATATTAATTAATGCTGGGCCATTTATAATTTTTTTAAAGAATCAATTAATAGTGGAGTCACTGAGGGATAGTCACCCATTTTTTCCAACGCAGGAACCGTGGTATTAGAAATAAGTATACCCAGTACGATAACGTTTAAATTATAATAAAAGGTAAACTATCCTACGGAAACCAAGAAGCTTGGTAAAAAAAAAAAAAAAAAAGATTCATGCACTGGTTTCGCGTTACAAGATTTCTATAGAAGTCCACAGAGAGACCATCGCTCTGCGTCAAACTGGGAAATTGAAATTAACATCTTAAACTAAATGTAATTTTATGCTGAACTAATATCTAATTCGTATAATTACTTGTTAATGAAAAATGTACAAAACGAATGTATAAAGGCCAAAGGCTAAATGTCCCCAAAACATGTCCGTAAAAGAAAAGAAAAAAAATATAGGCAATTCAAAAATAGTAATGATGTCTGCAGGAAATACCGAAATATTTTAGAAAGAAAATTGAAAAGGAATGATATGAATGAAAGCAAATTCATATATTCTTAGACTTTTTGTTTAGAGTTTATGCTTTTAGGTTGGAGATACTTTAGATTTAGGCACATCATTTCTTACTATTTTCTTTGTATTTTCACATATTCTTATATTAAAACTTCTATAATTTGACAAGGAGATTAGCCTTGTTATCCATAATGGACATATTGCAAGTATTTTTTTTAAAAAAAAAAAACCCCTCTAATCTATTGAGAAATTTGAAGGTGATGAATTCCTTATTAGATTCTTCTTGCCGACATCCCTAGTTCTGCCAATGTAATTTGACGTTAGATATACGCGTGCGATATGAAAATTTGGTCTTCCCATGAGGTTGCTGTTTATTTAACTGGAACTAGGTTCTCTCCCGTACGTTGCACGGAATATATTAACATTTATTATTAAAATAATTATTAGTTTTTGAAAATCTACCATACTCAATTAACGGTTAATTATGAAATATAATTTACAGAAAAACAGATTATACAAAGAAGAAATGAACAGTACAAAATAAGGTTTAAGAAGACGATGTAAAAATTAAGTGGTTATTATTAATTTCTTTGAGCTTAAATAGAAAAAAAATATTTTACTTGAATTTTTCACATAATTTTACCCATGAAATTTTAAGTTTTTTCTTTAAAAAAAAAGGTTGGCATTAGAATGATTCAATTTGAATGTAAAAAATATATTTTGTTTGGATTTTTTTGTAATTTTACTCGTGAAGTTTCAACAATTTTTTTAACCATAGGCGTCGGAATTTTTTTTTGAAAATAAAATGTTGAATTAGAATACAATACATAATTAATATTTCTCTATCTGATAATAGAACTATTTAATTTTTATATACATTTATAACATGAATATGTTTTTATGTATACGATGTTGAAATTCTTTTTAAGTAATACGACGTAGTTTTGACTTAAGGTGTTTTAGAGGAAAAACTTTTAATCATAACGCGACACCTCAATATTTTTCTTATCTTGGACTTCTCTTTTAATATGATATATATATATATATATATATATATATATATATATATTGATGGATTTTGTTGATGTCGTAGTGAATAATGTTCCAAAATGAGGTATATATACTGACTCATAGTAGTTTTGAGACGAAAGATTATGGCTAAAATATGAGTGTAATATTCTTAAATTTGGAAGTATCTTATAGAATATGATGAGTTACGCAAGAAGAATTATAATATAGGGTAGTCTTTTTTTTTTTTTTTGGTTACAATAGGTTAGTCCTTTTTAATTGTTGATTATGAAATTTTAATGTAGGGTCTTTTTTTTTTTTTTTGGTTATGGAGTATCAATCAAGATCAATGCACATTAATACCATGATTTCTAGTGTTTAATATATATTATTTGGTCAAAGGTGTCATTCAATAGCAGAATTCAAAATGACAGGCAAGAATGATTTTGTATTTTATCTTTCAAAAATGGAATGATATCAATTAGGCACATTAATTGCATGATAATTTGATTCTGATCATTTTTTCTTTTTTTTTCCTTCAATTTTTATAAAACGACGTAGTTTTTTGTGGGCGAGAAAAAAAATTACATAAGAGTACGACACATCATCCTTTTTTTTAGTTTAGACTATTGTTTTAATAGTATATATATATATATATATATATATATATATATATATATATAATAGATGTGTACACCAAAAGACCCACCAAGATTGTTGGATTTGATAAGCACTAGTTGGCAATTTTTTTTGGCAAAAACAAACAAAAGCATGATCACTATTTTCTGCATATTTTACAAGTTTTGAGTCTTTCACTTGCTTTAATACAAGTTAATTTTTTATGCCGATTGCTATTAAATGGACATCGAATTTATTCATTAAGTCCTGCTGCTTTCATCTTTCAAGCAATATTCATTCAACTGTATCACTCTTACCCTTTTAAACTTTAAAAAAAAAATTCTCGAAAACAATCATAAGTACGTAGTATTACGGAAAAAAAAATAGTTCGGGAAATCAATTAATATTGCACAAGTACAACCAAAAAACAAGACACAGGAAAGTGTACGAATATTATTAATTACAGAAGTATTGGCTCAAAGAGCACTTTAGCAATATCGGTGTTTAGGGTTTTATAGTCAACGTAGGCAGTGTAGTAGAAAGCTTTGGCAACTTTTAGAAATGTTTGCTTCACATTTTGATTGAGGATGTCATTGACGGGCTCATTTTGAACTACCAATTGCAAGAGATCTTGCATGCTTTCTTCAATCTCCATTGAATTGATCCTCCCCATCTTTCTCATAGGTTTTCCATTTGTAGTTTCCTGCGTATTTGTCAAACATATAAGCCCCGATCACATATAAACTATCAAACTTAAATTTATATCGGAACTGTATCTCATACATAAAATACGATATAACTGTATTTACCTTGTTTTTCTCATATCGGTATAGATGAAGACAAATTTTGTTGGTGAGATCAGAGATATGCTTGAACGACTCTTCGTGGGATAAAAACTCATTTGATACCGACAAATAATTTCCGCTGCAAAGGTTGATTATGTTTGCTATAAATGCACCTTGATTTGGGAAGCTTCCATTTTCAATAATATCGAATGACTCTATCAACCATGTCTCCCACTACCAACATAAAAGAATAGAAGAAATTAGTAATTTGAAGAAGTATTCACATATTATTCTTATATTTCCTGTAAAAAGAAAAAAAATGGGACATGTATGATTATTTAGTAGTCATTTAATTAAATTTGAAAATGCTCACCATATAAGTCAACTGTTGACATATATCCCTTTGCAGCTTCTGAAATGTATCAATGGACAGTTCATATATAAATTCTCGTATGATCCAGTAAAGTCCCTTTCCCATCCTGTTATAGAGATTCAACGTGAAAACTGCTAGTTACGTGTGTTTTCGAATAGTAGAACTTTTTAGTTTGTAATTTTTTTTTTCCTTTTTCCAGTTTTACTTCTTAGTGTTTTTGTATAAAATCTCCAAAAGCGACAGATAAAATTAAAAAATAAAAAGAACGATGATGCTATTTTATGTAAACTCACTCATCTAATCTGTCGATGAGGCCATTATATGAATTGCCTTTGAATGTTGACAGAAAAGCCTCTCTTTTTTCCCTTGATATGGCAATATTATTGAAGTACACTTGAAGTAATTGAATAATTGCCCGAGATTTAGTCCATGCACATCGCTCTGCTGATCTTCCCGGTTCGAATATACTTGCAGCTGCTAAGAAGAAAGTTACAACAAGATCTTCTCTTTTTAATCCATACTGTTCAAGCTTGCATTTTTTCCACCACCTGCATTGTGTAAAAGCAAATCAATTAGGGATAAGAGCTCAATAAAAATATTATTCCGCCCGTCCCACAAAAATAGTTCACATTAAGTTTTGAGTTTTGTATTTTTTTAGTATAAATTTGAAAATCCAATGTAGACTATTTTTTAGGACGGAGGTAATATATGTCTTTTTTAAGAAATAAATTTAGATTCTATCATTCTCAAAGGTTTATATCTATATCTATACTAATTATAAGGATAGTCGGTCACAAAGTCACTATCGAGCTTTTGGTCCCCGTCATGCAACTTGCACCCTTTCTTTCTTTTTCTTTTTTTTTTTTAAATGTTTACATTAAATTTCACTGCTAACCTTTGTTCCCAAACCCAAAAACAAAAAAATAAATAAATAAATAAAAACAAAAAAAAAAATCAAAGTAAAAAAGTTCAGTGGTAATCTTTAATTGACATATTATGATCCCATATCAGATCGTGGCATGAGTTCAAAAAGTTTCTTGAGTAGTGCATTTAAAAGATGTAACATACTTGAGCATATTTGTCCACTCAAGTTGATGCTGAATTTGACACTCGTTGAAATCTAACTTGGCGACCTCCAGGTAATGATTGTTGCTAATTTCTGCCACTCTACGGTCATTGAATTTCCCAAGTAAAAGTTGAATTATTAGTACGACAAACACAATAATTACTTTGAGATGGAAGGAGTATAACAACAAAAATAAAAAGTACCGATAAAATGTTTTTCCAATCCACACATCATTTGCACCACTATATTGTTCAATGTAGGATCTCGCTTCAAGGCGGGGTAAGCAAGCGTACCATGGAATTTCAACTCCGAATTTCAACTGCAATTTTGAGAAATATTTATATTGTAGTCCTTTCTGTAAGAGTTTTAAAAGAACAATCAAGTTATATAATTTTTCTTCCATGTTTGATAAAAATGAAGTAACTTAAATGCTAATTATATATGGTCTCGTACACATATGTTACCTCTCCTGCAATGTCCTTGGATCTAACCCATTTATCCACGATTTCGTTGTGTGAAATCTTCTCCTTGAGAAATTCAAAGGAGAAATTTTCAGCTTCTTCAAGAACAGTTTCCCCTGGAAATCTCACTTGAGCAGCCTTATAAAGATTTAGCAAAGTCGTCGGGGATGCGTTTAGTTCCCCACCCAGGCAATAGAACTTGTTGTCATTTGACTTGAAATGTTTAAATACATCTGAAAGGAAAACTAAGATTAAATCTTCCTAGAAGTCAAGTGAAATAAAAGAGTGAAATAAATGATAAAGAGAAATTACATTGTTTACATTATTTGAAATGCATCTAGTTTTAACGTCCCTTTTAATAATTGTATTACACACTTTATTAAAAGATTTTAATTTATCAAATTGAATTCTTAAAGTAATTAATTTTAAAAATAAGTTTAGCTAGGGCCTAGGATGTTTTAAATGGCGAAGACATGAATAAAACCTACCAGCGCTAACATTATAGCCTTGTAGCCTTAGAAGCCTAAAACCCATGGAAGTGTCATCCAAATCACAAACTGTAGCTTTCCTTCCACTGAAAACTCCATTTCTCGTCCAAAATCTGTGTTTCATTTTTTTTTTGGGGGGTGGGGGGGGGGGGTGGTTGTTGAGGAGTTAATGAATAGCCTCAGAAAAAAAAAAAAATAAAAAACAAAAACTCATAACCTGTTCCATTAGTATATTTTCTATTTCTGATTTATTTTTCTTTTACGGAACCAGTGCCATAAGCAACCTACCATTACTACATTGTTCAGAAATTTGTATTAAAATGGGAAAGAGATAACTCAGTGTTTCAGTCAACAATTTTGTGTTTCGCTAAATATTTTAAAAAGAAAGGAAAGAAGAAAACATTATTGTATGCTCTAAGATAAGGAGAGTAACGAAATTGTAAATAAATGCGTTAAATAGAATTTAGAATAGGTTAGCCTCTCTAGAGAGACCTGATGCATAATATACCTAAAAAATTTTAAAAGGAGATGCCCAACAGAGAGAATAAAATACACAAAGCCCATCATAGTAAGGGGAAAAAAAATGAAAAAAAAAAAAAAAAAACTTGGCACTAATGGTTACAAATGTACCTATGAACATACTCCAAGCACTCCCCAATTTGTTTGTCGAAAAGATGAGAAATTCCAAGGCGTTGAAGACGGTCAACGGCCCACAGTCTGGCGAATATATCGATCGGGTAAACTGTTGGGGCTCCGCCGTTGAATGTTGTGACAATATAGTTAAGGTAACCCAAGCAATTATGGTCGCCAGTTTGCATAAATGCAAAAGCTGTAGCAGAAGGAGATGTTAAGAAAGACCCTTCTTCTGTTTTTAGCTTTAATAATTTTTCCCAATCCAGTGCTCCTTCAATTCCTTCCAAGTTGTAGAGTATCGGTGTTGGCACCTCGTGCATTATGTCCCTTGGAATCCTGCAAAGCACAAGATATGGGAAACGGATAAATTATCCGTTTAACAATTTTTTTTGTGTAACATATAACATTTCAAATTATTATAATCTCAAAAGTGTATATATCTCCATTTTTTTTCACATAACGTCGAAAAACTTTCGATGGTTGTGCCTAAAAAGACACATGACATGCATGGTTTTAAACATCTTTACGAGAAAGGTATACATATGTAGGTATGAAAATGGTGGAGGAGAAAACTAATACTTTGGGGTTCTTGTAAATTACCTTGATAACTTTAGATCTCTCAATGCAGAGATTTCTCTCAGAAAAGGACCATCAAAATATGTAATTTCGATGCCCAACTTTCGTGCTCTTTGGAGAAGTGGAGGAAATGTGATCTCAAACCCACAAGTCAAGCTGTCAAGGTTTGTACTTTCAATTTTCGATGAGATCTCTTTGAGAAACTTTATTCCTGATTTCAAATAGATTTACAAAAAGGTCACTAATTGGAATGAAGTGTAACGGATTAGTAAGTATTTCTTTTCTTTGTTTCTTGGTTAAAAAACTGACAACATATGTCGTTTTGAATGACATTTGAATACATAAACTAATCAAGACATTTCTTAATAGATAGATATTCCATTTATCTCAAAATAATTGATGCATTTGTATATTTATGGTTTGTAGGGAAAAATTGATTTTTTTTTTTTTTTTGATAAGTCAATGACGGTGTCTAGCTATCATTTCCTGATTTTTTTTTTAAGTGTTCTGAAAGAGAAAATTGGGGGAGGGGGTGGGAATTGGGAGGAGTTCACGCTTTAAAACAATAGGGGAACCATCAAACTAGTCTCTTATAATTACTTACTGAAGCCTCTCACCTTGAAAGAAATTTATTCACAAGCAAGTTTTGAATCATTGTTTCGATGAGAATATTTTCTTACTGATCGATTGAATTCTAAACATACTTAAGTAGATCGATCAGTAACAATAAATGATCTTACTGATCGATTGAATTCTAAACATACTTAAGTAGATCGATCAGTAACAATAAATGAAGCTTAATCTAAAACATAAAAAATATCAAATTAATATGCATTAATTCCACACCATCAACTATACTAAATCCAACTTAAATTGTGGAAAACTTAGTAATGCATACTTACCTCTTTCACTCTTTTCGGGATGCATATTCCATGATCTCAATGCAACCACACAAGCGACAGTGTTCAACAATCGATCATAAACAGAATAATCATGTGCATCGCCCCATGAACCATCTTGTAGTTGATTTTCCGCAATCCATTCTATAGAGGATGGAAACTGTGGGGAACCACTATCATCGACATTTTCAATGAGGCCAACCCATGCGGTGTCGTATGGAGAAATACTATGAAAACCCTTCTAATGTGTTCCATGAAACCCTTCTTTTTATCTAATTGTCTTGCCTTTATATGAAAACAAAAAGAGAGAGCACAGAAAATGCAATTACGTAAATGAAATGCACAACAGCGAAAATTGTTGAATTATAGGCTCAAATAATTAGAAATAAGTACTTTTTTTTTTCTTTTTCTACCTTCAAATTCTCTCCTACCATAGCAGCATTATTAGCTTCAAATTGTGATATGTCTACGCAATCTGCAATGATATTGATCAATATTCGTAATATGAACGAAATTAAATAATACTATATTACTTGTTTCACGTACCAAAAGAAGAGGCTGTACAATTTGAAACAACATTATGTGGGAACTTTCTTTTGATTGAGTAAATACTAATTTTTGATTATTTTGTTAGTTCTGCTATGCTTACTATAAATGAGCTACAAATGTAGATACTAGCTAGGTTCTACATTACATATATGATGTGCGTATTTGCGAAATAATAAATAAATAAATAAGGAACAAAATTCAATCCAATTCTTTATCAATGTATATCTGGTAGGTTGTCTTTTGAGATATGTCAACTAAAAATGAAAATTCAAATTCGACAATAAATTTGAGATGATATTAATTAATAGTTAATACTATAAATGAAAAGACATAACAAATCACGATTAGGCTTTACAGTTTTAAGGAAATGGTGACACTGATACAAATCTGCCAAATCTGCCAATTTATATGTCAGATTCTCATTGGTTTTAACTTGATATCGTATTATAGAAGTAAAAGTGTTGGCCCACAAAATTAATGGCCTCCTTTCCAGTATGATGAATTCAGGAAAATACCTCCACTTCCTACTCTGCAAACGTTTACTTTGATCCGACGAAGATGTAATGGTTTTGATTGTACATCAAGAATACCTGAAAGAAAGAAATTAACTTTTAGCAATCAATTTTGTTAGCTCTATCATTATTCACGGATTTCACGTCATAAAAATAAATTTATGAATACTCACTGCTAACTTCTGACGATGGATGCCGTATTATATATAATTAGAAGAAAAAAAAAAATCTATGATAGTGTTACCCTTATTTTACTTAGAAGGAAAGGGGCAAAGGGAAACTAAAAAGTAGAGTTTGAACTAGCACATTACCTGTCGGCGGAGTGAAATGCTTCATTGAGGAATTATGAACGTGATATGATGTTTTAATGTGACATATTGGAAGGGAACCCGGAGAAAATGTATTGGCTTTCCACATGTTGTTTGAAATTTTTTTGTTAAGTTGCTAGCTAGTCCATTGACATAAAAGATAAGAACATATTTATAGAGTTATATGTACTGCTACCAATGACTCCACTCATTCACATGGTCCACAAATTACATTTTATATTGCACTCACTTGGTTCTGAAATGTCAGTTTGAGTTATAAGTTTAATCTAATACAAATTTTACTAAAATTAAAAATTTAAACTAGACAATTATTTTGAACAGAGAAAATATTACTATTGTGAGATAATAAGTAGTAGTTAACATATTATCATCGACTAAAAATAATCAACCTACGTGTTATTTTTTCCCATTTTTGAACTCGGATTTACTTACAAATTACGACAAAAACTAATTAGTAGCAAGTGCAGACGTTCACATAAAAGTAAAAAAAAAAAAAAAAAGAAAAAAAAAAAGAGAGAGATGGCTCCTCTAAAAATCTCTCGCCCCTTCTCACCAAAACCCCCCGCCGGAAACTCATCCTCCTCCCCCAACCACCATTAACGGTGGTTGGGGGAGCATCTCTTTTTTTAAGTTTTAGTCTTTTTCTTCTTTTTTTTCCTAATAGAATAGGCCGGTCGCTGCTTCTTTCCATCCGGCCGACGCCCTCTCCCAAAACAATCCGGCCTTAGGCGCCGACATTCTTCCAATAATCGCCGATTTTAGACGCCGCTGCCTTCTCCTTAGACGAATGCTGGGTGTTCGTCACCTTAGTACTGGCTTCACCACCCGTGTTGACGGGTGCAGATCTAAAACTCTGGTCGAGGGGCTGTCTGCCGCTTTCAAGAGCGAACAGATCCGGCGGCGATTCTCAAATCTCTTAGAACCAGATCCAACAAACAGATCCAAAGGACGAACAGATCCAGCTGACACTCACGCGCAGGTAATCAGAAGAAGAATCAGCAATCGCTCGGCCAGCCGTAGCAACCCCAGCTTTCTTGATTGCTGCAGGTCTTCCTTTCAAGATTTGAACCGCCGGCGAAAGCCTGAGCCCCCACAGAAAATTCGACTGATATACCGGAACAGGAGCCCGGAATTTTTTTTGGACTGCCGTTGTCTGGTTCACTCCCTTTACAGCCGCTCCGTGGCCACAATAGCAAAGCCGGCCCTTCGGCCTGCTACTCAAACACCGGCTTCACTTGTCCTCAATTCAAACCGTTTTTTTTTTTCAAACCGGGTCTGTTTCAAAAACTGGATATTGGATCCTCCGGTCTATTTATCCGGTCATGATGGACGCAAACAAATCAAATCGGGTCATTCTTAGTTATATTATGTTTTGTTACTGTTGACTCACTTGTAGGAACAACTTGTGGTAATTTTAAATTTTCTGTATATCACTCACTGTTCGGGATTCTCAATATGCCCACCTAACGCGGCAATCCATGAGCAGTGATTCAAAAAGATGCTAATCACGTTGATGGGGAAAATAATAGTTGTCCTCCATTGCGTTACTGTAATTTTTTTCTATGCCAAATATATTACTAACTATGTAATTCCCGATGAGGTTTACTTTTTAACTCATATTTAATCAACTTTATAGGATAATGGTTTTTCAATTGTACAGGGTAAATCTTAAGCACTGCCCTAAAAATATTTCACTTTTTAAGAAATTACCCAAGTACATCCTGGTTTTAAAAAAAATGAAAAAAAAAAACGTTCACATGAAAGTACCTTTCTGAGTCACGGACTCATTTCTATTTTATTAAAAACTGAGCACTAGCCAATCAAGTCAATTTATGATTGGTACCAATTGATCGTTTGAGTAGTTTCTACTTTTTTTTTTCCCTTTATGTTGTTTTTTTTTTCGTGTAGCACAATTAACATACTCATGTCTTCACGTTGAAACTTACTGCTTGAAAAATGGCTGAAACTTCCGATATAGTATAATTTTATCTCTCTCTCAATCTCTTTCATCTTACGTTCTATCTTTTTTCTTTATGAGAACCTTTTTCTTTTTTTTTTTTTTTTGACTCTAGAACCTTTTACTAAAAAGAAACAAATCAACGTCATAACTACCTGTACATTTGAATCACGCATTCTAATTTGCTCTATACAATAAAAATACAGATTATCGTACGTGCGCTACATTGTCAGAAAAAGAACTCCTCAGTTAGGTCGGAGATTTTTCCCAGTCACTACCGTATCTTTGACTTATACTACTTGGTAACGGAGGTTGTTTAACTTGTCGGAAACGTTAAAACATTGGTTATAAAAAGATGAGGTTGAAATTTCTTCCCTTCCACATAATGTTGTGATTTAATTACTTCTTTCGTCCTAAAAATATAGTTAATAGTGTAGTTTGTGAGTTATTTTTTCGAGGACATAAGAAGTATTTCATACTTATGCCTCATTTTTGTACCATTTAAAGAACAAAGAATGATTTAATTATATAAAAAATAAAAATCCAAAATAGACAATTATTTGAGGAAGGAGTGTATGTATGGGAGAACCGGCAAACACTGAATACTCCATAGGCTTAGAGGAGGCACCCGAGTTAACCATGAATCGACCTGAATCAAATTGAACCCACCATACCAGACCATACCAAACCAGAATAGTCGAATCAAACCAATAGAACCGAAACGAACCAGGCTGAACCAAACCAATCAAACCAAATTGGGTTGAACCAAACAAGTCAAATCGAACCGAGATGAACGAGGAGAACCGGATCTGAAACTTAGAACCGGGAAGGTTGCAAACTTGCAACGGTGATAATCAGCAGAGGAGAATGACGTGGAAGATTGCACCCGTAGGAGTTTAAGAAACGGCAAATGGAGAGAGGAAAATTGACAGCAATAAAGAATGAAAGCAGCGGCAACAACGACCCGCAGAGAAGAAGAAGAAGAATTTGCAGTAACACCGACGATGGCTGAAGGCTGAAAGACTTCCTCTAGCAGCAACAAACGAAGCATCAACAAGAATAGGAAGAAAAGAAGCAGCAGCAACAGTAGCAGGAGCAAACAACAACGAACAGAGAAGATGATACGGACGGCCATATAGAAGTCCATGGGGTTGCACCTCAAAACCAACTGGCAATGAGAGGAGTAGCCCATAGACTTATATATTGATATCAAGTCTCTCTAAGCACCTATGTTGGATACTCAACACTTCCTCGCAAGATAAACGTATCTTCTTGAGTTGGGTTTATATATTTTTCTTTAGTCTAGTCACCACCTCACGTCACAACCCTATCAGTTCTATTACATTAGACTTGAAGTTTGACTCTTGGGTTTGGGCTGGCTCTGATACCATGAAAATGTCAAAACCCTTTGGGTTGTTGTATTGATATGTTACATATATATATATATATATATATATATATATATATATATATAGTACAATGTTAGGTATACAGTTACAATTATAACCTTATCTATATATACACTAACAACGTACGCTACTTATATAATGTTAGTTTGCTAAATTAATCTGCAAGCATAGTTGGAGAAAAGTTCTTTTATCTCTATTTTATTTGTTTTCTACTTTAAATAAATTTGTTTCCGGGAATTGGAGGTAGAACACGTACACGACCTTGCGAGACCATAGGATCGATCTCAATGACAATATTTTCTTACTAATGTATTAGATGAATTTTTATTTTTTAAAAATAAAATCAACAGGACAATTTTTGAAAATGAAAAATTATTTGTCTTATCATCTTTCTTGCTTTCAATCATATATTAAGTGCGACATTTTGTTTCTCGAGATATTTTGACTTGTTATTATTTTTATTAAAAGTTATATACAATTTGAATTGGTTTGATGTAGACTTATTATTGTTTTCTTCCTATAACTTTTTCAAAAGAGTCGTAATGGAAAATATACCTTTTTTTAGTAAAATGTTAGTGGCCGCGCCACTAATATCAGTAAGATCATTTTGATGATTTTGTTAATTAATTATGGCGACAATTATTTTCCCTTTGCAAGTAAAAGGTGACGAGTGGCCGCGCCACTAACATCAGTAAGATCATTTTGATGATTTTGTTAATTAATTATGGCGACAATTATTTTCCCTTTGCAAGTAAAAGGTGACGACGACCAAACAAACAGAAGCAACATAATACCAACCAAATACAAGTTCATAAGCAAACGACGCCTTCCATCTGGCCATTTGGTTGTGAAGATCAGACAAATCAATCCTTGCAATCGGCACCACTTGACTAACTCGCAATTCGCACTATGTTTTAGGACGATCGTCAAGCAAGAATTAGGATTCAGAAAAAAAAGTAAAAAAATAGAGAGAATATTAATATTGTGTTGTGTAGATACCACTTGTTTTAATAGGGGGAAACCACCCCTTTAAATAGTGTGTATTACATAATTAGACGGTTTTTAATTCGAGTAGGTTTACTAATAATAGGTAATTAATAGGAAATCGAATGATAGTTTAGTGGTTAGGATGTGTGATTCATGGTATTAGATCTAGGCTCAATTCCCATCAAGAGTTAGGCAAGCGGCGGTTTTATCCATATTTAAGTGGGGTCATTAGCGTGAATTTTTTTTTAAAAAAAAAGTAAATTAAAATAAGACGGTGCTTAACTTTCAAGTAACCATGCCCAACCGTATTAGGAATAGGGGTTAATTTCATACTCTTCAATTATAAATTGCATTCTCTCTGTGCCAAAAATATTATTTAGTTTAAATTTTTATTTTTAGTCTAATTTGAACTAAAAATAAAATCCAAACCAAACACTAATTTCGGAATGGAATGAGTACACAAAAATTAAATAATTATTTCGAGACTTGATACTAGATTCATTGTGACTATTCTAATTTGTTCATTGCCTTGTTCAAGAGTTAGTTTTTTCTATCCACATCCATTAAAGTCCCTCAAATTAATCTTAGCTCTCTCTTTTTTATCATTACAAGAATTGCGGGGAGCATCAGCTTTATAATTTGAGGGAGTTTTTCAGTTTCTCTCTCTTTTAATTAATACTGGTCCTTTGGTTTGGTTCTTAAAATTACGAAGAGATGAGAAATTGGTTATGTATGCAACACGATGATTATCCGTCAGCTATCAACTGCAATGCCCCGGTTATTCAAAGATAGTTCCTCGATCGCTCAATACTTTGTCAGCCTCTCGATCCGGAATGTCCATACAGTATTCGATCGAGTTGCAGTTGTTATTGGTGTTGATAGAACGAGTTGCACGAGGGTTGAAATGAAGCCTCATATTTTAATATGGATTTCGTTTTGTGAATCAGACCTTTCAGCAGATGACAAAATATCAATCAATGTCGTTCTTTATCGTACATGATCCCGAGAAAAAATAGTCCCAACGTCCAAAAAAGGAAATAGTTCACAAATTCAAAACTAATGTCACATATTCTACCAGGCCCAACTGAAGGCCGAAGAATACCTAATTCTTAAAGGAACTTTTTTTTTAATGAAATGATTGTCGTATTTAGACTTTTAATTTTAATTTAATTTATACTAGAAGTTAGAAAAAAAAAAAACAAAAAAACCCAACTGGACAATGATCTAGGATATAGGAAATAGTACTTTCTCCGATCCTTAATATAAGACATTTTAATTTGTTTTAGATTTAACTTAGTATACATTTTTAACGGACGAAAAAACCTTAAAAATATTTCATAACAATCAAAATGCCTTATAATAAGGACCGGATGGAGTATTAATGACGTAAAAATTGTATTGTCCACCACATGCAAAATCTGAGATTTCATTCTCAGGAAGCATATTGCAGTTCAGTTAGAATTCCACATGCAAAATCTGAGATCTCATTCTCAGGAAGCATATTGCAGTTCCAGTTAGAATTCCACCCCGTATTCTCGAGGAATCTAGACACTAATTATTTGAGGTAGCATTTTATTACTAATCTTGAACAACAGATTGAACAAAAGCCAAGGTTATCATCAATTAAAGAAGGACGAATTTGATATCACTGTCAGAAATCACCTAATGGCTTTTGGGAAAGCAGTCTCCTGAGAAAAGGAAGAGCTGGGTTAGTGTTAGAACTAGTGGATAATCAAAACAAGTGGCTGATACCTGTTTCTCGAAATTGCTCTCCTTACATAGCCAGAAATGTGATCTGAACGTTCAGAAGGGTAGCTCTGGTAAATTTGCAACTAGAAACAATCAGCTATATTTCGACGGTGAAAGGTTCTATTAGTTGCACTCCATAACCATGTTATCCCTGTCCTTGTGGTTTAACTGACATGATTAAGCACTTCAGCAGATCAGATGGTATGCCCACAATGTCCAATTACCAAGCTTTGGAGATAGAGACTAATGGATGGGGGTTGAAGGCTTGCAGTTCGTAAATCAATAATTAGGTTCAATGATGAAAACTAAACAATTTAAGTAGATCCTCAATCTTTAATTGATACTAAGGTGCACGCAGTATGTACCCTAGGCCATAGGCAAGATACTAAGAAGATCAATGAAAAAACTAGAATCCTACCAAGATCAGATGAAACCAGAATTTTACTACTTTTTTAGGCTGCACTTCACTTAGACTGGTAACAATGTAAGCCAAAGGGAAGAAAAGAAATCAAATCCGATTATACACATGAGCAGAAAAAGCAACAAATTAATACAGGTACCTCATCACTTGAGTAAACACTTGCAACAGTAAAGCTCAAATCTAATTCCAAAATGCTTTTGGATTTCATTTCCGCATTAGCAAAAGAGAATTTCAATAGCAACTAAGGAAACTAATTAGCCTAGAGCTTTGGAAAATTCATAGAGACACGTAAAATGATCATCGGCAATTAGACTTAGCAAAGAGAGTCATTTCAGACATCTTCTATGCTATATCACTTGGCGAGGATCAAAAGGCTGGGGACGCACCCATCATAACTGCTAAAGAAGAATCCCTAGTTGAAATCGAAAGCATAAGACAACCAAAATCACCAAGCATTTGGTATCTCCGCTCAGACAACACAACTAGGCGGAAATACAAAAGGCTAGCTGAATGCATTACTTAATCCAGTCCACATGCCAACAATCCAATAACTTGAAACATTTGCAGATATTCATTTCGCTTGACAGTAACTCAAGTTAGCGAAAATGTGAAACCCGAAAGCGAAGTAACATATGTCAGTTCCTTGATTCAAGAACTAAACACCAAAGTCTAAAGATACCCTTCCGTCTCAAATTACAAAGCAATTTTCTAAAGTTTAATCTCTGAACATATTCAACTATTTACCTCACTCAAATCACGTAACTAATCCAAGAAGAAAGAGATAAAATTTATAGTGTAATTGAAAACTTCAACAATCAACAAACCAGAATCATTTCATTTATTCAAATTGGCAGAAGTATGGTAATACCCGATTACAGCACCACAGATCATATGTCTCCATAATTACACAAATCCATATCAGCAACAATACCACAACAAGCACGTAATTGGGTATATTGGAAACCCCTTTGATTATTATACACAATTAAACATTTTATTCAGAAAGACTGCCAACAACAGGGTACTTAGCCTCAAACTTCTTCTCCCAATCATTCAGTGTCTGCATCTCTTTCTCTGTGAGACCATCCAGAGATCCACAAATATCCGCTTCCTCTTTGCTCATCTTGGCCAGAGCCCTGCTGGCATCCTTCCCGGCGAACATACAGTAGCTCCCACCTGGGCCGTAGAAAGACTTGCCGGCGGTCACATCAAAGACCCTTCCTTTGACGGCAACGTAGATCGGCTTTGATGGGTCGCTGCCGTCGAATTGCTTCAGCTGACTGAGTGATAACGCCATTGAAGAACTTTTTTTTATTCTTTTTGGTAGAGAACTTTATCCACTATAACTCAGTGAGATGCTGATGAAAGCTTACTGTATAGGAATGAAATTGGGGGTGAGTAGGTGAGTGGAGTGGAATAGTGGACTGCGTTTATGGCAAGCTGAAAATTGCATTTTTCATCTTGTCCAAATTGGTCATCATTGTTGGAGATAGTGACATTTTTGGTCCCAAAGTCTATCTTTTATACTCCCTCTATCCTAACAAAGAAACAATCCAACTGTAAATTTGTACTAAAATTAGTATAAATTTAAAAATTCATTGTAGACTATTTGTTTTGTTAAGAACAGAGTGAGTATAAAGATTATTACAAATTTAAAAATTCAATATAAATTTTTTTTTCGGTTAAATAGATGATAAACGGAAAGAAAGTCTGATTTACACCAAAGCTTTTAGTATTTCTTGCATTAGTAATCTAATAGTGCTAGGGACTCTATCACAGAAAAAATCCAGACTGTAAATTTGTACTAAAATTGGTAGAAATTTAAAAATTCATTGTAGACTATTTGTCTTGTTAAGAACAGGGTGAGTATAAAAATTATTACAAATTTAAAAATTCAATGTAAATTCTAGACTATTTGTCTTGTTAAGAACATGGTGAGTATAAAGATTATTACAAATTTAAAAATTCAATATAAACTTTTTTTTTCGGTTAAGTAGATAATAAACAGAAAGAAAGTCTGATTTACACCAAAGATGTTTTTGGTATTTCTTGCATTAGTAATCTAATAGTGCTAGGGACTCTATCACAAAAAAGAGTCCTTCCTCTACACCTAAGACCTAGAGCCGATTTGGCTAGCAAATCCACATAAAATATGTTCTTTCGGAAGGTGTGCTCCAACTTGAGCTCCTTCAGTAACCGGGCTTTGGATCCCTTAAACAGCTTCTATTGAATCAGACTCGAAGATGACTCTTGGGAGACTAAGGCCTTGTTTGTCTAATCTCTTAGTTTACTTTTTATCTCGTTTTATCTCTTAAACACAAAACTCGATGCACTATTCAAACAATATTTTAATTTATCTTTTAAAATGTTGCGTTTGGTCATTACACTATTGTAAAGTCTTCATTTTAGTCACTGAACTATTGTAAGTCTTTATTGCGTTTGGTCACTGAACTATTGTAAAGTTTTGCATTTGGTCACTGAACTCTTATAAAGTCTTGCGTCTGGTCATTACACTATTGCAAAGTCTTCATCTTGGTCACTAAACTATTTTAATTTCATAAATGGTCACTATACTATAATACTTTTTCAAATGAAAAATTAAACTATATATTTTAAATTTCTTCTCAAATCTAAATAAAAAACTAAAACAAAATATTGTCCAAACAAACACTAAGCTACCTAGCAATTTTCATACTTCGTCAAATTACTTTTAGTTAGCCCCTTCAACAAGGCAAAAAGCCAATCCCTTCATGAAAGGCTTTCCAAAACCTCCCCTTGTTCTCGATTATGCCTTCCTTTTGAGATTCTTAGGATACAACAGTATCGTGGACTATTTTTTTAGAAAAGAAGTTATAACTAATTTAGCTCTAACACTATAGTGTTAAAAACTCCAAAATTCGCCAGTGCTAGATCTTGAAGTATTATTATTATTTTTATTTATTTATTTTGGAATGGGGGAGACGGAAATTCCAAATTCCAAATTTTATCAATGATACAAAAAGGAAAAAGATAAACTATGGAGACTACTTTTGACTTGCATATGAGAGCTGAGAAGGATTATCTTACAAATGATCTATGCTTAACCGGATCATTCTTGTAATAAGAGAAAAAAAAGAAGAGATGTACAAGAAAATTAGTTAGGTCATCAAAAAAAAAAAAAAAAACTATACAAGATACTAGCTCTTATAAGTCGAATGTCATACAATTAAAGTAATGAAGCTAAGAGAATAATCAAAGTCAGTGCAAGTTGTCACCCAAGCTATTAGTTTGGTCAGAACAGGTCTAAATTGAAATGTGTCATTAAAGTTTAAAAAAAAGTACTTGGCATTGTAGATGCCTAAATTTGAACTTCTTTGCTAAGGACACCACATATTGGTGGACGGATTCGCATAGATTAGCCATGAAATGCAATTATCTCTAGCCTCGTTCATGATTGCTTAAATAATGTTGATGTCGCCAATTTGTTCTTGTTTGAAAAGGTTCTCGAAGTATGCAGAAAACTTTTTATGTGGAAAATGAACTGTGATTCACTCTTCATTTTTTTAATTCTAATGGAAGCATTAAAGATGCCTTAGTGGGTTGATTATAAAGCCATTTTCACCCTATTCAAAAGTGTTAGGAATATTATAATGCTTTCCGTATCTGGGAATTGCTATAATACAAGAGTGTTTGAGCAACTAACAATCATCACTGCGGTAATAACAGAGAGCCATAGTAAGATAGATTGATTGACAATGGAAACTTGCTTCAATATCATTGCATTCTCTGTTCTCACAGCAGTTCCCATAACATTGATTTGGAATAAATCACAGTCCTCTCATAAGAAACTACAACCACCATCCCCATGGAAACTGCCCATAATTGGACATTTGCATCATTTGAGTGGTGCTCCACCCCATCATTCTCTCAGAAAAGTATCCCAGAAATATGGTCCTCTGTTTCATTTACAGCTCGGAGAGATTCCAGCCATCGTCGTTTCTTCACCCCGATTCGCCAAAGAGGTAATGAGAACTCAAGATCTCACTTTTGCGAATCGGGCTCTGTTCCTTGCAGGGAAAATCATGTGTTACGATTATGCAGATATCGTTTTTGCTCCATACGGGGAGTATTGGAGGGAAATGCGCAAAATCTGCAGTTCGGAACTCCTCAGTCCTAAAAGTGTCCGGTCATATGTCTCAATCAGGCAGGAAGAAGCTTCAAATCTCATCAGATCAATTCAAAATGCAGCGATTGGTAATTCTACACCGATTAATCTGACAGAGAAACTGGCAGAATACACTAGTTCGATGGTCGTCAGAGCTGCATTTGGTAGAGTTAGCAAAGATGACCAGAATGCATTCTTAGAGCTAGTCCAGGAAGCATGGCCTTACACCAGTTCCTTTGAAGTTTCTGATCTATTTCCGTCCATGAAGATTCTTCATCATTTCCTTTCCATAGAAAATGAGCTGATGAAAATTCACCATAAGTTGGATCAAGTACTTGACAATATCATCAATGACTACCTTGAGGAGAATCTCGCTAGATCGGAAGCATCATCATCCTCTGTTGAACAGGGCAACGAAGACCTCATTGATGTTCTGCTTAGAGTCAAGGAAGACAAGGACCTTCCGATTCGAATCACAATGGAAAATATCAAAGCTGTTTTGATTGTAAGTTTCTTCATCCATCATTGTTTCCGTGGTTTGGTTTTATTCTCCTTGAGAGAATCATTAAATATATTCAATTTATGCAGGATGTTTTTACAGGGGGGACTGAAACTTCATCCTCGACGGTTGAATGGGCAATGGCCGAGATGATTAGGCATCCTGAGGTTTTGGCAAAGGCACAAGAAGAGATCAGGACAGCTTTCATGGAAAAGGAAGTAATTGAAGAAGCTGGCATTCAAGAACTGAAATACCTAAAGTTAGTGGTTAAGGAAACTCTCAGGTTACATCCTCCAGTTCCTTTGCTGGTTCCAAGAGAAAGCAGAGAACAAACTGAGATTGATGGCTATATCATCAATCTCAGTTTGTTCTCTGGGCAATTGGAAGAGACCCCGAGTACTGGGACGATCCAGAGTGTTTCAAACCGGAGAGATTCGAAAATAGTGACAAAGATTTCACTGGAAATCACTTCGAGTTTATACCATTTGGCGCGGGAAGAAGGATGTGCCCAGGTTTATCTTTTGGTCTTGCTAATGTGTATCTTCCATTAGCTCTTTTACTTTACCATTTTGATTGGAAACTCCCAAATGACCTCAAACCGAAGGATTTAGACATGGTAGAAACTGTTGGCGCAACTGCATCAAGAAAAAATCCACTTCTCCTTGTCGCAAAATTGTACGAGTCTTCTTCACAAAAGTAATGCTTATATTTGAACAAGAGTTGATGAATAAAGCTCTGTAATTTCAACGTCAGGTTTCAAATGTATGCTTTTGGTCTCTTTTGCATACATTTTTTTACGATTAACAGCAGTTTTTCGAAGTGCTCTTGGGAATTGGGCCAGACAAAAGATTGATGACTACAAGCCTGAAACTTAACCCGAATCTATAGGCCTTTCTTTCATGTGTTCAAAGAACAAGAAGAATAAAGGAAGAATAAAGAAATTTCGGCTATGTTTGGTTGTCTAAAATTGGAGCCAATAATTGGAATTAGAGACATCCAATTCCAATTCCTCCCTTTAATTGATTCCGTTTGGTTGCATTGAATTGAGACCAAGAATTGGAATTGGAGCTCTTTAATTCCAATTCTTGTGTTTGGTTAACAAAAATTGAAGTGGAAGAATTGGAATTGTAATACTATTTTGGGTTCAATTCTTTGATTTTAATTCTTTTGTGGGGGTAAATAATTGGAATTCAAATTCAAGGGATTAAAAAAAAATTCGCGGGTCTAAACCGGGTCATTTCCGGGTTATAACATAAACGGGTCATCTCTTCCTTTTTTCCCTTAAGTCCTTTTCTTTTCTTTTTTTTTTGGCTTTCAGCCCTTGCCCTTTTTCTTTTCGTTTTGTTTTTCTTTTTTTCAGCTTTTTGTCTTCTTCTTCTTATTATTATTATTATTATTATTATTATCATCATCATCATCATCAACGAAATCAATCTAAAATTAACATTATATTTTTTGAGAAAAATCAAAGTATAATTGTCCCAAAAAATTAATAGATAAATATTTTAATTTTGGGTTAGAATTTTTATTATATACTGACACAGTAAACACCATAAAATTTTCAAAAATATTTTATAATTGTTCCATATGTACACCTATATTAATATATATATATATATATATATATTAAATAATACATGGCATTTTTTCATCAAAAATCCTGTAAGTTGAATTTTAAGTATATGTTTTTTCATATATAACTATATACTAAAACTAAAAAATTTTAAGCAAATTCCAAAAAATAATGTCAACATATATAATAGAAATTAATATTCATAAAATGAATTTATATTATATACAATATTTTTACTAATATAGGGAAAAATCAATAAACCAAAAATTAAAAATTTTGAAAAGTAATAAAAGAGAGGGACTCAAGGATGTTTACATATCATAGTAATAATTCTTACGCAATAATGTTTCTTTTGTTTCCTACAAAAAGTGTGTACATAATAAATCACAAAATAATATAGCAATTAAATAAAAATTATTTTTCAAAAGGATTAGTTTAAAGGACAACAAAGTAATCTAATATACATGTACACAATGATTTTTTTTTGTTTTATCCATATCCGTGATAGATTATTTTGACATAGGAAATTAAGTTTTTTTTTAAAAAAAAAATTGACATGAAGTATAAATTGTATTAATTATCTAGTAACAAATTAATTTCAATTCTAAAGTATCCAAATTTTGAAGCATCCAAACGCAAGAATTGGTATTAGAACCTTAATTCTAGTCAATTATTAAGATCTCCCAAACAAATAAATTGAGATTGAATTGCAATCCCAATATTTTAATTTCAATTTTTTTGGATTGTAATTCTAATTCAATTCTAATTCATTCCAACCAAACGGAGCCTAACTAGAGTTACCGGAATTGGAATTACAATTTTATTTGGGATATAATTTTATGTTTTCAATTCTTTTGTGGGGTAAATAATTGTAATTCAGATTCTTTGAGTTTAATGAAAATTCGTGAGTTATTGTTCAGGTCGAAAACCGGTTATAACAAAATGGGTCATAATTTAAAAAGAATGGTTATTCAGTGTTGAGCGTAAAAACACGCGCTACAAAGGGGAGTGAAGGAGTTGTCATTCGTGTGGGCCGCCCCCCTCAATCCCATGTTTTTCTTTTAACTTTTTTTTTTTCCAATCTTTTCTAATCATTTTATCTTTTTATTTTCACATAATCAGAAAAATATAAAATCCATCAATTTGATAGTATGATCATACTATAATTTTTTTGTCCAATCAATTTACTATTCCCTCTTTCCCATAAAAATAGTCTACATTTAGTTTTAAAATTTGTGTTAAAAATATTATAAATTTTAAAATTCAATGTGAATTATTTTCTTGGAACATATTGAGTAACATATACGAATAAAAAAAAAAGATCGAATAAAATTTCAAATATATATTATTTATGAATGATAAATAAAAATGACTCATAAAAATAGGTAAAAATTATATAATATAAGTTATGCAATTAGATAATAATAGCAATATTATATTCTCGAACACCCAAATAAAGGATTTTCTAGTAAAATCTAGTTACTACTTAGTTATTTATATATGTCAAAAAAGGAATTCAAGATTAGATTCTAATCTTAATATCTCATTTGCAATGTTTTATGATTTAAATTCAAAACCAATTATGGTAACAAACGTAGCGTATAAATAGTTACCTAATAAAGTTTATTAATATTTTAATCCTATATATTTACATAATTATATATTTCAACTTTCATATGACAAATTAGGTGATTCTTTTTTGGTCAAAAATAGTATAAGCTATATTAGTTATATAATAACAAGTTAATTCTGAAGTATATAAATTTTTATGCATTCAAACACAAGAATTGGTATTAGAATCTTAATTCTAGCTAATTCTTAAGATCTCCCGAACAAAAGAATTGAGATTGAATTACAATATCAATATCTCATTTTCAATTCTATTGGATTGTAATCCCAATTCAATCCCAAATTCAATCTAAACGAACGGAGCCTTATACTACTTTATAGTGCTAGTCCAGTTCCAATATAAATTGCCTATAGTGTTTGACTGTTTTGGGAGAACGACCATTTTGGTCAAAATGATTTGACGATTAGCCGATTTCTTTCAAATGTATACACTTTCGACACTTCCTCACCAATGTTCAAACATTTGGTTGCTTTAGTCCAATTAATGAAAATTTGATCTTTTGTTATAACAAAAACAAAAGTTAATCATTAAAGAGGAAAAGGATCTCGGTTACTTGCCCTTGCTTTATCATGAACTAATTGCATTCTATTCTTACTGACTTTATTAATCATACAAGTATTGTATAAGGATTTATAGTGGAAAATGTCGTGAATCGTGTCTCTGATCTCTGTTGGAGCCTTCTGTGGGTGATGGAGTGAGTGCACAAGATTGAGTGAGTCTGTTCCGATATTTGCAACCATGACCCTGTGTTGAATAACATGTTTGATTGCTGCTAGGAATGTGAGAGCCTCTGCCTAGAGTGCTGAGATTGCATGAAAATATTGTACATTGTCAATATCTGGAGGGACATCATTTTGCGATAAGATAGCCCAAGCTCCAGCAGCTGTTAGCGTGTCTTTGTTAAATGCCCCATAAAAAAATCACAGTGATGGGTTCTTCCGAATTTGATTGATGCGGGAAAGTTCTTGGTTGAAGAATTGGTGCGATTTGCTCTGATTTCCAATTATGTAGGTAGGATCTGTGTTCCTCCATAGCTTGGCAAACAATTGTCTCTGGTTCTGTTTTCAGTCGTTCCCGATAGAGTTTATTGCGACTCTTCCAAATGTTCCAAAGAAGAACAAATGATTCTTCTAGTGATTCACGATCAGGTGCCTCTGTGATCCATCGAAATAGCCAATATTGGACCCTTTCATGTGTGCCATCGCGAATGTTAAAACCAAAGCATGAGAGAAACCAAACCAGTTGTGCTTTGTCACATTCCAGAAAGATGTGTGAATCTGTTTCTTCAGCTTGGTTGCATTCAGTGCACAAAGGAGGGATTAAAATGCCTCTTTTTCATAATTCCTTGGCTGAGGCATATCTGCCATTAAGCAATTTCCAGGTGAAACGTTGGACTTTGGTAGGAAGCTTGAGCGACCATAAACGTTTCCACACCTGGCTTTGGAGAGATGAAGCCGGTTGAGTAGAGGATGACGACGGGAGAGTAGCAGCAGTGAGGTTAACAGCTTGGTGATAGCCTGATTTTACTGTATAATGCCCATGCTTCTCATGGATCCAGATGAGCTCATCTTGAGCAGATGACTTGGTTTCCGGCAAGTGGATTGTTAGTATTCACTTGACATATTCCTCCTGGAAAAAGAGACACAGTAGTGAAGTTTTCCATTTCCTGTCTGTGTCTATGAAATGGCATACTCAGAGGTGCATTGTGTTTGGTGAAGGTAGTAATCTCAAAGGATTTGCTAATCCCGGAATCCAATCCTCCTGAAGTTCTACCTTTATCCCAGAGTGAATCTTCCATTTGATGGCTGATCTAATAAGTTCTTTGCCGCAAAGGATGCTTTGCCATCCCCAAGCATCAGGATTAGTTTTAGGAGTATCCAAAAAATCCGAATTCTGACAATATTTGGCAAGGAGCAGTCTTGCCAGTAATGAGTTCGGCTGCTTGATGGCATGCTATTTTAGCTAGCAATGCTTGGTTCATTTCCGACGTTTTCCTCATTCCTAAGCCACCTTTAAATCTGGAGGAGCAAATCTTGTCCCAAGCTACCCAGTGGATACCTTTCTTCATGTCTGTGTTAGCTCATATGAAGTTCCCGAGGATTTGATCAATTTTCAGCGTTGTTGTTTTCGGAAGCTTAAATACCCCCATGCTGTATAGTGTGGAAGAGGAGAACTCTGACTTTGCTAAGGTGATACGACCCTGAGTTGTTAAAGAAGCTGTTTTCCAGGATATACTTTCGTAAGTTGAGCGGGGCTCCCAAATATGTGTCATTCAGAAGAGATCGATGGATGTTGAGAGTGGTTTTAACCCACAAAGCATCTGTATGGTCCATCTTGGGGCTAAGATAGATACTTGACTTATGAAAATTGACCTGTTGGCCCGACCATTTTGTAAAGCTTGAGATTTTGTTGCTAGATCAGTAATTTGTTGATGAGAGCATTCCGTGAAGATTATTGTAACATCTGCGTACATAAGGTGAGATATACGTGGAGCTTGCCTGGCTATCTAAATTCCAATTGGGATATTGCTTCCATGGTGATTAAGGACTGATTAGAAAGCTTGTTGAAAGAGAAAAGCGGCAACCTTGACGCACTCCTTTTATCGGTGTGAAAAACGAAGAGTCCAGCCATTAATTGAAAGAGAGGAACGTGCCGTTGTTGGACATTGCATCGTCCAATTTACCCAGTTGAGAGGGAATTTCATTTTTATCATAATTGCTTCCAGGAATTTCCACAAAACTCTGTCAAAAGCTTTGTTCATATCTATTTTAATCGCAGCCAGCCCCTTGCATTTTGGCTTGTAATTTTTGATATGGTATAGTATTTCCTGAATGATGAGAACATTTTTGCTAATGTGCCATCCTGGGATGAAGCCATTTTGTTCTTCATCGATAATGGAATGCATTACTGTCTTGAAACGGTTGGCCATTGTTTTAGCAATGATTTTGTATTTTACATTGCTAGGCTGATAGGGCGATAATCATTTGCCGATTCAGGGGTTGGCTTTTTAGGTATAAGAACAATTGTGGTATCATTACATTTTTTTGGCATTTTCCCAGTGTGGAAAAATTTCAGAATTGCTGTAGTAACTGTGGTGTTAAGGGTCCCCCAGCATTTTTGGTAAAAGCCTGCCGGAATTCCATCCGGTCCCAGCGACTTCCAAGGCGCCATTTGCCAGATTGCTTGTTTGATCTCATCATTCGTGAAGGGGACTTGTAATGCTGATATTTGTTCCTCTGTTAGTGTCGAAGAAATACGATCTATTAATCCTTCAAATGAGAATATGTTTGGCCGATCACTAGAGTAGTAATCCATACGACAGTATAAAGCCTTATAATGCTCCAGCATGGCTTCTTGAATTTCTTCTTGATTAAAAAGCCATTCTCCCTGATCATTTTTGAGTCCTTGTATATATCCTTGTATATAATTTTGTCCTTGTCGTATTGTTGCCCATTTGTGACAAAATTTCGTGTTGCGCTCACCTTGTAGCTGCCACAAACGTTTTGATCTTTGTTGCCAATATAGACTTTCAAGATCTAAAAGTTGTTCCAATTCTTTTTCCTTGGCATCTAGGTGTGATTGTACGCGATGAGCTGGATGTTGATTCAAGAGTGGGGCTAGATCATGCATAGTCTGTGTAATTTTAGAAGGCAAGTATCCATATGTTTGTCTATGCCAATTATGTAGATGGACATGGCTTTGGGTAAGATTGTGCGAAAGAGGTTGTGATGAAGTCAGTCCATTTGATGTATTCAGATGCCAAACCTTGTTGACAATTTGGTTGCTTGCATCTAATTTTGCCCAAAAAGATTTGAAACGCAACAGTTTTTTGGATCGAAGATTGGAATGAGTCGTGTCAAGAAGCATCGGACCGTGATCACATATCATGATTGGGAAGTTTAAAATTTGAGCCTGTGTGAATAGATCATGCCATATTGCGTTTGCGAAACCTCTATCTAAACGTTCATATATTCGGCATTTTCCTTGACGTTTATTAGTCCATGTAAACCAGGAACCACAATTTGCTATCTCTATGAGGTTTAATAAATCAATAATCTTGTTTAGTTCATGGGAAGGGGTATCACCGACAGGTCGACCACCCCATTTGTCCAGTGGTGTTAATATTTGATTGAAATCACCCGAGACCACTAGCGGACACAAAAGGGACCTACTAAACTAGTCACCAACGACCAAACACTAGCCCTTTTGCTGCTATAAGGGGTACCATACAAAAACACACAATACCAAACTACATTCTTATCTACTAATTCTACTAAAATATAATGTTCACAACTATACTTAACTACCAGATTGATGCTATCCATTCAAAATAAAGCTAATCTACCAGCAGTCCCTATTGGAGGCTGGGAGAAATTACTTTGAAAGCCAAAAGATTGTTGCCATCTACTAATTCTTACATTATTGACTTTAGTTTCCATAAGAAAGATGACGTCTGGCTTACCTGAAATCTGGAGTTTGCGTAAAAGCTTGGTAGCACAGGTCTTGGCAAGCCCCCTGTAGTTCCATGATAGGAGCCTCATGGTGCTGGCTGTGGTTGTTGTGGGACAACCGTCGGCGAAACCCTTAATTCATCATCAGCATTGTCAAAGTAGATAGGATGATATCATCAGTGTTTAGATCTAGTAATTGCCGCGTTCCTTCTATAATGAGAGTGATGATATCATTGTATTGCAGAGTGAGAAACGTGGCAGCTCTAGTGGGTGAATCTAGTTCATCAGTTTCCTGGATAACTATGATGTTTGTGACACTATTGTGGTTATCATTTAAATCGGATTCTCCAGTGCATCTGCGTTGGAAAGAAGTGATTTCCGGAAGTTGTTGTATCTTCGTTTTCGCTGCTACTCTACCTGAATCTGTGGTTGTTCCTGCCTCTTGGATGGCCCAATCTATAATGGCATCATGTTTGACTATGGGAGCCGGCGATGAGGGGGGCGGAAGTTCCATGGTTTCCGGGACTGGCGGTGGTGGGAGAATTGTCATCTTGCTCTGTTTCTGGATCTTCTCCCATAGAGGTTTCACCCCACTTTCGCTTTCCTTCTTGAATCTGTCGCCGGCGGGTTAGTGCAGCCAAGGAAAGATCTGTACTTGGTTCTATCTCTTCCTCTTCCAATATTGGGCTGAGAGGTTCTGATGCAGTATGAATAACATGGACAGATGGGTCAGCCAGATCTATTGGTATTAAGGAATTTAGCTACACATGCTTGGAAACTTAAACACAAAAGCAATGAAGTTCAGAAGTTTCTATATACAACAGAAAGTATAGAAAACATGGGAAGAACAAAGTCAAGAGTGTGGTAAAGTGATGCTGACTTAGCAAAGTCAGCTTCTCACTTCCCCAAGAAACACCCCTGAGTCTGCTTTCAAGACTTATGCTCTGTTTCCAAACTAGCCAGAACTAAGTTAACTCTATTTCTTCCTTCCTAACTCTTGTTTTTCTCTTCGTCTATTGCTGCTGGTTTTTATAGAGAGGTAATCTTACTTAATGAGGTTGGTCTCCTCTTTGCCCAATGGATTAAGCCAAAGTGAGGAGACCTATACCTATTCTAACCTTCCACCTCACCTCTAATCACCTTTCTGGGATGGGTTCAGTTGATTAATTCAACCTTTATGCATGCCTTCTCTTGATTGATAGCTCCTCCATACTTCCTTTGCCTTAGCCTTGAAGAATAGCTTGAATTTGGCCTTCAGCAGCTCCAGTTCCTACCGGATTCATCAGCCTCCACGAATTGCACCATCAGTCCAATCATGCATTTTCTAATTATGCCCAAAACTTCACCAATTTGTCACATTTTGTCCACCTTTTTATAGATTTTTAAATTAAGTCCAGATCACCAAAAGTCACCAAATTAATCTATGTACATAAAGTACTTCCTAAATCGGCCACCAAATTAATCTATGTACATAAAGTACTTTCTAAATTGGCCTATATCATAAGAACAAAGATGTAAATTATGTGCTCAAAAACATGCATAAGTTGACACTCATCAACATCTTTACTTTATGGCAAGAGAGTAGAAAATTATTGTGTATATGAAAAACTTGTGAATAGTACACGCAAATAATGCATGTATCAAGATAATTGTTTTAGTTTTCTATGTGTCAAAATAATAACAATTATAAGAAGCAATAATAATATATGTGAGGCCTTCCATTTGTCTTTTTTGCAAAATGAATGAGGATGGCATAGAACATTTTTTTCTTGGATGCTTTGAGGTTAAGAAAATTTGAAAGACTTTTGCTAATCTATTTCAGCTTAAGTGGAGGGAGAATGCTAACTTACAAACTACTTTGATAGAATGGTGGAACCAAGGCTGGTTTGGTTCGGTTCTTCCTTGATTAAGATTGATCCATCACTTATTCTTTGGGAGCTATGGGGAATGAGAAATAAGATTCTTTTTGATGGGGAAAACTTCACTTATGAAAAAGTTCATTTGGCTATCATGGTTAACATACGCAGCATTTTGTCAATACATGTTATGAAGGTGCGCAATGAAAAGGAAAGGACTTTTGTGGAGCATTCTCATGGGGTGCGCGTGGATAAGGTGCAGGAGTTGCGATGTTGTTCAGTACATTGGATGCCTCCAAATCAATATGGTTATGTATTGAATTCAGATGGTTCTATGATTAACAATGGATCGGGATATGGCTTTTCCATAAGAAGTTATGATGGAGCTTTTTTGTATTGGGAACATGAATACTTGGGAGAAGGAGATAGTTTTGGTGCTGAAGTGTATGGAATTTTGCATGGGGTCAGGAAATGCGAGCAACTTGGATTGAAGGAGGTTGCTATACAAACAGATAACAAAGCATTGGCGGACTTATTGGTAGATTTAAAGACAATTCCTTGGAAACATCTTTGGCCTATCAACCGGAGACTAGACCAGCCCACCAACCGGAGAAAGAATCCAACCGGGACTCTTTAGGCAGTTTAGGTTCCCGAAATCTAATAGGATTCGGGGATTGTCCAGGTATTCTCATACCTATAAATAGGGTAGCTCGCACCACAATAGAGGTACGCAATCTATAGCTTAACAGACTACATACCTAAACTTTCCAGCAACCCTTTTACTGACTTAAGCATCGGAGTATCTACCCTCGGGAGACTCCGAGGCCCTGTTTTGCAGGAAACCCTAACCTGAGTTCCACCATTAGACCGGCGGCGCGTATCCAAGCATCGTCAAGTGGCACGCCCAGTGGGATCCGAAATGCGAAAAGTGTCAACGCTTCTCTCCCATCACCCGACAGCCACAGCACGAGATGGTCACCATCCAAAGCCCTTGGCCATTCTACCAATGGGGCACTGACATCATCGGCTCCTTTCATCCGGAAGGGGTAGGAGGAGTAAGATGGGTTATCGTAGCGGTAGGTTACTTCACTAAGTGGGTAGAAGCCAAACCCCCAGCCTCGATCACAGGGAGGAAAGTCTTGGATTTTTTCTAGCAGAACATTGTATGCTGTTTTGGAATCCCAAAGGTTATCGTCTCCGACAATGGGACCTAATTCGAGAGCAACCCTTTCAAGTCATAGTGTGACGAAATGCAAATCGAGTGTCGCTTCTCAAGCGTGGCTCATCCCCAAGCTAATGGTCAAGCCGAATCCATCAATAGAACAATATTACATGGGATCAAGACCAGGTTGTATGACGCCAAGGGGGCATGGGCCGACGAGCTTCCCCACGTCCTATGGTCATACCGTACAACGGCCCACTCCTCGACAGACGAGACACCGTGTAGCTTAGTCTATGGCATGGATGCCGTCCTTCCGGTTGAAATAGGCTTGTCGAGTCCTCAAACCATAAACTTCGTCGAGAGTACCAAGGATGATGACATCCGGCTAACCTTGACCTGCTCGAAGAACGGCGAGACGCCGTCAGAATCCGAGAAGCAAAGTATAAAAGATTCTGCACAGACATTACAACAAGATGGTGAAAGCCACGGATCTCGCTGTGGGTGATCTCGTGCTAAGGAAAAACGAGGCCAGTCGAGCAGAAACTCTTGGAAAACTCACAGCAAATTCGGAAGGGCCTTGCAAGGTTATCCAGGCTTCCCCAGCAGGTAGCTACCGCTTACAGGCCATGGATGATAACGGGACTATTCTTCCTCAATGGTGGAATATTCAGAATCTTCGCAGGTTCTATGTTTAAGTCTTTGCCCGCTATTTGCCTATTGCGTATTTTATTTCCTTTATTTATCCCGTCAGTTTTATACTCTCGTATGTAATGCTATCCCGGGTCCTTAGGTAATTATTCAATAAAAGACATTACATATTCTTTTTATTAACAACATTGCATTCATGACTAGTCATCGAGATGGACTCCCTTTTCAGGGCCATCCTCGTTCAAAAGCCGTGTACTCAACATCCGGACACAAACTCGAGGAATTTTCCTCACACACACTGCTAAACGCAGTATCAAGTCAAGGAATTCGTACCTAATTCCCTTGATAGAGCCGTGTACTTTACATCTGGCCTAAAAAGCTTTATATAAATTAACACTCGAGTAAAGCCAAAGATAATTCACTCCACGCTACAGTGCGAGCCTGTAGGAATATACATATTCTCTTACGCTGTTACAAGAACCTCCCTGACAGCATTGTCAGGAGAAGGATGAATAATCCCCTTATACCCATGCAGGCTAAGGAGATTCACACATTAATTCAACTTGTCCTTAAGATCCACGATCTCTAGGTCCTGAGCATGCACCCTCATCAACAGCTCTTCTCGAGAACTTCGAGTTCGAGGATCCACTGTTTCCTCCGGATGCTCAAAAACCTCGAAGTCAATTTGTTGTCCAGGAGTAAATTTTGCAATTTGGCAGTATAATCTGTAAGGAGCTCGATCTCGCGAGCCTTCTCTTTCAGTATATCCATAGCTGCAATAAAGCGGCGACTTCTGATCATAATCATGTGCTGGACCCGGGCTAGCACTTGATGCTTCTCGAGGAACCAGGGAGACACGGAAATTTGCTGTCTTGCTCTCAGCCGAGCATTCTCGTTCTCCAAGGTGACCAACTCATCATAGATCTCGGCCTCAAAAGTCAAAGAATCACTGTAATCTTTCAAACTTTGAGCTTCTCGATGCTGCATCTCCTCGCGAAGTCCTTTAATCTCGTTTATCAGGTGCTGGTTAACCTTTACATTGTGCGTCCTTATCGCATCGAGAAGGTCATTCTCTAAGTTTGCCACCATATCGATACTGTGCACATCGGCGCAGCTTCTTAGAATTCCGCTGGTCATGGAATATAGCGGGAACTCGCTCGATTGCTCCTCCGATAGCACCATGAGGTGAACACGGTGGACAGACCAACTATCCTATTCACAAGAGGAAGGTACATCAAACAGAAAAAAAAAGGGGAGAAAAAGAACAAAGAATACAAAGAAAAAGAAGAGATGCTTGTATAAGTACGCAAAAAGAAGAAATGCAGTACTAAGTTCATTACAAAAAATAATGGTAGTTTAAATGGCCTAACAGCTATTACAAAAGGCAGGATTCATACAGCATCACTGCCTGGAGGGAGGTCCTTGGAAGGGTCCTGGGAGGCATGCTTGACAGTTCTCTGGACTCCAGAATGGCCAGTATCAGCAACGTCCTCCTCACTGGCTTCGTCGGCATCCTCGAGCTCCATACCCATGTACTCGTCTGGTACATCAGGAATGGGATCTTCCTTGCTTGGACCCTTGGCTAGGATCGCAGGAACGTCGCCAGGGAATGAGGCAATGTCCGCCGGAGAACACAGAGGTAGCTTCTCCCACAGAGGTAGCTGCTCGAGGCTCAGTTTTGTTAAGACCTTCACCATGGCCTCGTGTATGGTTTTCTTCGGGTCCTTCATTAAGAGCTGCTTGAACCATTTAGCCTTGATCGGCCTATCCTGGTCGAGCCTCCTCAAACCTGCGACGCCGACTCGGTGCGCTCTGCACTTGGTGGCGACCGAGTTCATCTCCTCAAGTACCGCAGCCATCCCTCCTGTAGACAGTACCTTGTACATGAATGCAGTGCAACACTGGTGCAGTTCCTCCTTTGAGATGTGCAAGCTAGCGAAGGACTTCATCTTCTCATCTAGCTCGT